TCACTGTCAAGCAGGCCTCCGGCGCCAAGATCAACTGCGATGGTTCCCGCTGGTGGGACGGCAAGGGCAGCAACGGCGGCAAGACCAAGCCCAAGTTCTTCTATGCCCACAAGCTGGATCAGTCCAGCATCACTGGACTCAAGGTCTACAACACCCCCGTCCAGGGCTTCAGCATCCAGGCCGACCACCTGACCCTCACCGATGTGACCATCGACAACTCCTCCGGTACCTCCGAGGGCCACAACACCGATGCCTTCGACATTGGCTCCAGTACCTACATCACCATTGATGGCGCCAAGGTCTACAACCAGGACGACTGCTTGGCCATCAACTCCGGAGAGGTATTTGCTCGGCCTGCCGACTATATTGTTGATTCAAGCATCTAATAATGTCTTCTAGCACATCACTTTCACCAACGGCTACTGCAGCGGTGGCCACGGTCTCTCCATCGGCTCCGTCGGTGGCCGCAGTGACAACACTGTCTCCGACGTGACCATCTCCAACTCCCAGGTCGTCAACTCCCAGAACGGTGTCCGCATCAAGACCGTCTACGATGCCACCGGTACCGTCGAGAACGTCAAGTTCGAGGACATCACCCTCTCCGGCATCACCAAGTACGGTATCGTCGTCGAGCAGGACTACGAGAACGGCTCCCCCACCGGTACCCCCACCAACGGTATCAGCGTCAAGGACATCACCTTCGAGAAGGTCACCGGTACCGTCAAGAGCTCCGCCACTGACATCTACCTCCTTTGCGGTTCCGGCAGCTGCTCTGACTGGACCTGGTCTGGCGTCAGCGTCACCGGCGGCAAGAAGAGCTCCAAGTGCAAGAACGTTCCTTCCGGTGCCTCTTGCTAAGCGGGTGGATTTGTTCCTGCTCGAAGCTTTTTTGGGCCATCAGAGTGCGATCTCGAGGTGGATGGGGTAGCCTGTCAAGGGGATGGGAATATAATTCTTTCTACGCTCATCCCGAGAGTGAGGCCTTGTGCATATAATCTATAATTCAGTCGAGGGCATCAATAATACAACCTTGATTGGCAGCCAATATGTTTTGTGGCCTTGCATTGTATTTGTAGCAAAGTTGCATGTGCAGAAAATGTATAAATGAGAGCATCGCCAAGCTCTATCAGCCTTGAATCTCATACTCACGATCAACAACTCAGCAAATAGGTTAAGGTACCTGCCTCACCCCAGCCGCCATTCCCACGACCGGATCTCCAAACCCTGATATCACACTGACATACCATTACCCGCACGCCCAAACCCCCTCCAACCCGAAGAAAAAAGCAAAGAAGCCCCCCCCTCCCTCCATCAAGAACCCCATCTCACCATCTACTACCATCTTAAACCTCCGCACCTCCGCATTTCCGAAAACCGCATACCCAACCCATTACCCCCACACCACCGTAACCCCCTCCTCCTCCCCCAAGCCCACCGCAATAATCCCGACCCCCACCCCCCCCCCCCCCCCCCCCCCCCCCCCTGCCCCCCCCCCCCCCCCCCCCCCCCCCCCGCAAAACCCCCCCCCCCCCCCCCCCCCCCCCCCCTCCCAGATTAGAAGAAAAAATGCGCAAAAGAAACAATATGCCACAAACAAGACTCGACCCCGCAATCTCGCCGCCCCATAAAGCTGAGGTAAGGGGACAAAAGACATGATCGGCAATGTCGAACACCCAGCAGCGTTCGACATTGCCAACCATGCCTGTGAAGGGTGAGGGCTACAAGAACTGATACCCAGCCCTGCTGGCGTCTGTTTGGACCGTGCTTGCTGGGCTTGGGGGTCTGCGCAACGGGGTGGGTTCGGAGATGGAAGGGTGGGGAGTGCGTGAGGACGGCGGTTTCTCCTTTGAGAGGCGGGTTGGTTATCTTTTTCTAAGGGTTTTTTTTTGTTTGAGATGGGGGCTAGTTGTATTTGGATTTGCGATGAAGGTTGGTTTTACCTGGTGTGAGATGGGTGGGATGGGATGAGTTTGGTAAAAGGGGATTAACTGGTATCCTGGCATCCTGGTATATGGGTTATGGTGTAGAACTGCTTACACAGTCGGTAATCAGATTCTAGGATTGGAAAAAGAGTAACACTTTACTGCATCTATATTCGATGAAGAAGTCCTTTCTCCTATTTGAATCCCCAAAAAAGTCCGAGTAAGTTGGAAGAAAAGAGACGGCTGGATCCAATGCTAGGTATTCATAACATATAACAAAAAGAGCTATTCAAGATTCTAGTATGACTTTTTTATTTCGTTTCCTCGTCGCGTCCGTTTACATACTAGAATAAAGATAAAACGTTAGAAAACATTATTTTGGACGACGTGTTATTTGGGGCACGTTATCTTGGACGAAGCCGAGATGGGGGGAAAACAGACCGGTTGACGGGGCTCAAACCGACAACCCGCATGCCGTTGTGAAGAACCTGGCGGGCAGACTCGTACAACGCCATACGGGCCTTCTTGAGCTCGGGCTCGCTACCGACGACCTTCAGGACATCATAGCTGGAGCTCAGGACGTGGGTCATGCGGAAGAGGTAGGTGAGGATGGTGGTGGGCTCCAGGGTCTTGGTGGTGTTGAGCAGGACATCGGGCCACTGGGCGAGCTGGCGGGCCAGGTCGATGGCGTGGGGCTCCTTGAGCAGGCTGAGATCGGCGTCGCCGAGCTCCTCGACGTTGAGGCCGGACTTGCGGACAATGGAGCACAGACGGGCGTGGGCGTACTGGAGGTAAGGACCAGTGTCACCCTCGAAGGAGGTCATGGCATCCAGGTTGAAGTCGTAGCCGTTGATACTGTTGCCAATGAGTAAAACTACACGTCAATCAAGGAAGAAACACATACCGCTTGCCAGTCATGTCCTGGACCATGACGGAGGTGATACCCAGAATGTCGGCGGTCTCCTCGGGGTTCTCGACCTGCTTGTACTTCTCCTCGTTCTTCCTCATGACCTCGTGCATCTTGTCACCCACATCACGGAGGATATCGTCCAAGAACTTGACAGTGCCCTTACGGGTGCTCATACCGCGGACCATACCGAAGTTGATGTGCTGGCAGCGGTTGGCCAAGTCCTTGTGGCCCATCAGCTCGGTGATCTTGAACAATTGAGCCAAGTGTAGATCCTGCTGAGCGGCAACAACGTAGATCATCTTGTCGAAGTTGTACTTCTCCGCACGCTCGGTGATGGCGCCGATATCACGGGTCAGGTAGAGGGGCGTGCCATCCTTGCGGACAATGATAGCCTTGCCGAGCTTCTTGGCACCGTGCTTGGTGAAGTCGACGATGACAGCGCCCTCGGACTTCTCGGAAACACCGGTCTTCTCAAGGGTCTGGTAAGCGGCGGTCATGCTCTCCTGCTTGATCTGAGACTCGCCGGAGTAGACGTCGAACTCGATGTTGAGACGAGCGTAGGTCTGCTCGTACTTCTTGATACTGAGGTCACGGAAGCGGCGCCACAGAGCGAGGGCCTCGGGGTCGCCGTCCTCCATGCTCTTGAAGTAGCGACGGGCACTCTCGTCCTCACTGGCATCAACGAGCTTCTGCAGCTCCTGCTCCAGCTCCGCCACATCCTCGCCCTTCTCCTTCTTGGCCTTGATCTGTTCCTTGAGCTCCTTAATAGGCGCCTCTTGCTGGGAGACGATGTTGTTGATCTTGACGTAGACGTCGAACAGGTGGTTGATGGGGTCCTTGGTCAATTGCTCCTCGTTACCGAACTGCTTGAATCCGTTGGCCAGCAGACCGTACTGCTTACCCCAGTCACCGAGGTAGTTCATCTTGATCACATCCCATCCCATGACGGTGTAGAGGTTGGCCAGGAAACCACCGATGATCGTACTGCGCAGGTGACCAGCGTGGAAAGGCTTAGCGATGTTGGGCGACGAGAACTCGACGATGATTCTCTTGCGACCCTTGGAGGGATCGGCGGCGTCGCGGAGACCCTGGTTGCCGTTGGTACCATAGGCGGATTTTTGCTTGAGAATGCGGTTGATGACATCGGAGGTGAGGATTTCCGGCTTGAAGAAGAATTGAAGGTGGACTCCGAAGGGCACGGGGGGGAGGACGAGGTCGGATTCGGGGAACTTCTCGGCGAGTTCCTTGCAAAGCTCCTGGGGGTTCTTCTTGATCTGAAGAGCGGCGACCTACAGTGCGTAACACTATGTTAGTCTGTTTGTCGCAGAAGAGCCTTGGCAGCCCAAGAGATATTGGAGCCCAAGGTGAAACGTTTGTGGTGTATATCGCATACCGGCAACACCAAGTCACCCTTGTCGAGGGAGTTCGTCCATGACAGGCGAGAGTAGATCTTCTCGGCGTCAATGTCAGTGGCAGCGCTCAGCTTCTCAGCGATGTGCTCTCTGTAGACATCGACGACGTTCAAGGAGGGGTAGCAGTTGGGGAACTTGGAGGTCTCGGTGGTGGACTGGAGAGAGAGTCCCTCCACGGAGGAGACGAGGTCGGCAGCGGAGGAAGACATGACGGCAGCTACGTTCTTCTGATGCGTCGCAGTAGCAAAAGAGGAACGCCAGGGAGGGGTTAATTGAAAGGAAGAGGAGGAAAGGAAGAAGCGACGACTATTTTGTGGACAGTATGACTGGGCGGAAACAGTCTTGAAAACGGCGTTAGAAAATCGCCGGGCCCCGCTTACCAGAAGGCGACCCATCAATGGAGGGGAAGGAAAGGGAAAAGGGAAGGGAAGAAAGCTGAGGGAGGGAAAAGCACCAACTGGAACACGCCTCAGCCATACAACAATTAAGAGAGAGGGGGGAACTCTTTTTTTTTTTTTTTTTTTTTTTTTTTTTTTTTTTTTTTCCTTTTTTCTTTCGCTCATTGACTGACTCAATGCGGCAGGCAGTCCACCATTCTGCCATGGGCGGTGAATGGATTGATTCTTGTCACATGACTCATGGTATCCACGTGACTTTTACCAGCCCTTGGGGAAGCCCTACCCCTGTCATAGCCCAACTCAGTATAGCCTCTCCTGACGTCACTCCTTCAGCGCAGCGGCCTTCCCATGGTCACCTGTTCGACCGCGAGTTCATCAACACGATTTCACTTGTACTGACCACTCTACCACCTCATGATGCACTGTCACCATTCCAATCCCCTCTCCCACAACACTTCAGCCCACCTTCCGCGACTCCAAAATGGGTAACAACCGCCACGCGGCCCTGTCCAAGTCCATCCAGCGCGCGATCTTCCGCGACCCAGCCAGCTTCCGCAAGACGGTTATTGGCCGATTCCTCGCCTTCTTCACCATCCTCTACATCAAACTCATCCGGTACGGCCACGTGCAATTCCAGAAGCTGCGCAGCGAGGTCTGGCAGATCGACGAGGAAGAGTACAAGGCCAGCTTTCGCAATGATAGCAAGAAGACCGTGCCCTTGAAGCCGATGGGCGACCTGGGTCTCTCGGGATCGGTATGTCGCGCCTCCCAGATTCTGGTCTTAGTGTCTCTGCTTTAGATGCGTAAGGCTAAGTTTTACGTGTGCTGCCGCAATCGCAATCAGACCTTCTTCAGCACCTCCAACTCCCGCTTCCTGGTCAAAAGCCTGCCGCGACACTTCGAACATTCCTTCTTCCGCGAGGAACTGCTCGATCCGTACTACAGGTACATGACGGAGCATCCGGAGTCCCTGCTGGTGTGGATCACCGACTACGTCTACTCGCCGTACTGGACGATCGGGAATCTAGTCGGCACCACCCCCGCCCACCACATCATCATGGAGAACCTGCTCTGCGGCCGGGATACGGATCCCGCGGGGGATAGGTGGGAGACCTACGACCTGAAGCCGGTTGACTATTTCTTCCCCGAGCGAGATCTGGTGCCCGACCCGTTGGTCAGCAAGGCCACCTTGAGCAAGATCGCCGATAATTTCGATGACAAGGTCCGCATCAATCAGTCGGCGTATGTCGCCCTCATGCAGACCGTCGAGGCTGACACGCAGTTCCTCGAGGACGCCAACGCGGTGGACTACTCGCTGTATCTGGTCCGCTTCCCGGCCTCCTCGACGCCGGATATCGTCGGGAGGCCCGTTCCGTGGCGGATTGGGCTGGAATCGGCCGATGGGAAGTGGAAGTACCGCGCCGTTATCCTGGATTTCTTCTGGGCCAGGCACAAGCTGCATGCTCAGGCCATGACAGGAGTGATTCAGACCTTCAATGTAATTGGGCGCCAGGGCCCAATGACCATTACAACCACGCCAGATGAGTACAGGAAGAAGTTTCTGACCATGGTGAAAGCCATGATCGAAGTACAGGAGTAAGTCTAGCCAGAGAACTTAATACCACTCATAATGCCTATACCCGTGCACAGAGTATTTATGATAAGATTATATCGTTTGAAAGACCAAGTGCAACTTGGCCCTGTCAATATCGTTTCGTTTTAGGTAGATTTCGCTTTTGCGCATTCACTCATAACACCGTAGATCTGCAACCCCAGGATAACCAATGATACAACCTTTCATGAAGTAACGTTCTATCATATCTATAACGTGTGAAGGTACCGGCACTCAGGCACCGGTCCAGCCGATCGCGAGACGAATACAAGACGCTGCAACCCAGGCGCAAACCGCTTAGAAGCAGAAGACCTGGTCCTCGAGCTTGCTGACGGGGCGAGCCTTGGTGTAACCAAGAGACTCGGTGGCCTTCTTCATGGCGCTGACCATGGGAGGAGGACCGCAGAGGAGGATCTTGATGTCGCTGGCAGGGGCAGGGAGGCGTTCCTGTAGTCAAACAAGTGTTGTTAGCACTTGAACCGAATTGGATCGACCGACGGGTGCGACGAACCTTAATCATGTCGGGGGTGACGAAACCAACGCCACCGGTCCACCCCTCGGGAGGGTTGTTGAGGACGTAGTAGATGCGGAAACGGTCGTCCTCCTTGGCCAGCTGCTCCAGCTCGTCCTTCATGAGGATGTCATCGGGGTTAACGTTGGCGAAGATGAGGTCGACCTGGGTGTTGTCGTTGCCACCGTTGCGGGGACGGTTGCGGACAATAGCCTTGATGATCTGGTACATGGGAGTGATACCGGTACCTCCAGCGATCATACCAATGTGACGGCACATGTTGGGAGTGTAGACCATGGCACCCTTGGGGCCGCGGACCTTCATGGTCTGACCGACCTGCAGTGTAGTCAAGTACTTGGAGATGTTACCCTGGGGGTAAGCCTTGACCAGGAGATCGAAGTAGCCGGCCTCGTTGTCGGAGGAGATGGGGGTGTAGGAGCGGACAACCTCCTTGGGCTGGCCCTCAATGTTGGCAGCGAGGGAGATGTGCTGACCGATGGGCAGACCCAGGATATCGGTGGGGCGGGGGAGAGCGAAACGGTAGATGGTCACATTGTGGGAGATGTCGGTCTTTGCCTTCAGGGTGAAGTGCTGGAACTCAGTGGGGTTGAGGACCTTGCGCTGCTCTGGAAAATGCGGTTTCAGGTCAGCAACTTGATCAATCAAGTCAAATCTGGTAAGCTTATGGTGATGGACGCACTGTTGCTGAACAGTTTCCAGCCGAGGAAGACAGCAGCCAACGCGACCGCGAAGGGAACAAGGGCCGAGAAAGAACTGATCAAGATTGGTTTCTGTCAGTCGCCAATGGCATGCGCATTGTGGAGAGATTGCTTGAAGGCCACAAACCTCATAATGGCGGCTCCTCCGATAAGTTGAAAATTGAGTGACAACCGAATGGGAGAGGAGGAGGGAGGAGGGAGGAGGAGGGATGGGGGGAAGGAAGAAGAGGCGGAGGAGGAGGAAGAAAGTCAGAAATATAGGTGAGTCGGTAAAGGGACAGCCGGCAAGAGGAGACTCAATGTTTTGTGACGGTAAAAACAGCGGCAATCCCAAGTCACGGGAGGGCGAGTTCCCGATTGGGTAATTCACTGGGGTCCGGATCGGCTGCTTATCGATAATCGATAAGTTAACTCGATAACCTTGAAGTCTGTTGAATTTGTTTGCTGCAAGAAAAATAGATGAAGAGCAGACATACAGAACATGTACAGAACTCCAACACAAGAGAATAATACCTTCCTATTGAGTTACACTATCAGAGTACAATAAAGTACATTGAAATAACTGAACTCGTCAACTTATACAGGTTAAACAATACGTCTATTGAGCTGTTGTGAACAACACACACCCAGGCCCGCGCGGAATCCAGCCCTGTTGGGGATTCCTTTTCCCTCTTCTTCACTTGGGGTAAAGAAACCCGTTCCAGGTCTTACCCAGTAAATCCATCTCCCCCTCACGCCACTTTCAGGCTCCGACCCTGATTTTCCCTATCTTGTTCAACAATTCCGATCTCCATTCTTCTTTCGCCATTCTCCTTTAGTTCCATACTCCATGCTCCATACTCCATAATCATAGATTTCTTCCCCTCTCCCCCCTCTCCCCTCCATTTCCAAATCAGACATCCTCTTCCAGCCATGACGATCGAGACCAACCCGGCCGAAGAGCCCCCAGCATTCAACCTAACCGAGGTCGATCGTCAGGTCCTCGCGCAGACCGATGAAGAATTTAAACTCCACGACTGGGATGATCTCAAATCCATCATAGGTGTGTGCATTTGCTTGAATTTAGAATCACATCTCCGCTCTCCTCTATCACCATCTCTATCAGATTCTCCTGTTACCCCTCATTCCGTTCCCCTCTCCCCCCTAATCCCCTCTCCCCCAACCACAATCCCGCCAATTCCGCATTTCCCTCCCCCGGAACAAGTAACCACCAACCACTAACTCAAACGGCCCTCGGCAAACCCCAAAGCGCGCAACGATCTCGGCATCCTCAAGCGGAAACCCTCCGACCTGCACCGCTACCTGTCGTGGTCCGCCTCCACGAAACAAAAATACGGCTCTATCACCAACTACATCTGCCAGGAGCGACTGCACTGGGCGCTGCCGGACACCAGCACCATCACCGCCACTAACACCACCACCACCACCACCAACAACAACAACAACAACAACAAGCCAGGACCAACACCTACCGCAGCAGACAGCGGCCCGGTCTTCCCCTACAACAACCCGACCCCCTTCGCCGACCCCGCCGACTACAAGATCCTGCGGAACGACTGGCCCTACGGCCTGAGCCCGGGGATCACGCACCTGGTCGTCTGGCTCCGCACGCCCGTGGCCGTGAACCCGGACGACGGGGATCTGACGCCCGAGTCGCGCGCGCTGATCGAGGGGTTCGTGCTGCGCACGTTCGTGGGCCGGTTGGCGGCGGAGCAGCGCGGCGGCGCGGGGCTGTTCCCGGATTCGCCGCGCGACCATGTGCTCTGGTTCAAGAATTGGACCGCCTTGCAGAGTGTGCGCAGTCTCGAGCATATCCATGTGCTGGTGCGGGATGTGCCGGAAACGATCTTGTTGGAGTGGACGGGGGAGGGGCCGCCGCAGCATTGATATTTGTCCTCCATGGGTAATGGAAGGGGGGAGGGGGATGGAAGGGCAGTATGCATATAGAAGATATATATCCATGCCCTCGTTATCTACTGCCAATAAAGTAAACGATTTGTCGCGTTTGGCGCATACCCCAGCTGGAACCACTGATGGGAAATCCTCAATCGAACCTACATAGCATTGGGAATCGTACATCTCTAAACAAAGCATACATAAGTGACAGCTTAGAAAATACAACAACCGAAACAAAGGAAGATGACATCATCGAGGAAATAATCATTGCTCCCTCTACATCAAACTATGTAAATAGTGTCACTGCCACTGCCACAATAAGAAAAACCCATCAAATGCGCCTGCTCCCTTGAAAATAAACCCATTCCGGAAACCAATACCCCACCCTACTGATCATGTCTTTTGCTCTTCCACAAACTTCAACGCCTCTTCCCTCGACACCACGTCGATCGTACTGGCCTTTTGCCGGAAGCTGACGCCGTAGCACTTCTCGGCCACGTGCAACATCTCCGGCCGGAAGGTCGTGCAGATGAACTGGCCGTTGGTGGAGTCCGAGATGGACTTGAGCATCTGCGCGACGGCCGTCCGGTACTGGGCGTCGAGGTTGGCGTCGATCTCGTCGAAGAGATAGAAGGGGGCCGGGTCACAGGCCTGGATCGCGAAGACCAGGGCGAGAGCACACAAACCTGTTAGTGGAGAGGGTTAGCCGATTGGCAAAGAAAACTGTATTAGAGATAGAGGGCCTTACTCTTCTGTCCACCACTGAGCTGCTGGATCCGTTGCTGGTCATCGTGCTTGCTGTTGAAGCTGACGCTGATGCCAACCCCAATGTAGTTTTCCACGCTTTCGCGGTTCTCCTCGTCCTCGGAATCCAGGTCGTCGGGCTGGCGGAGAGCGCGGTCTGTCTTGCGCTGGATGATCAGGCGCCCACGGCCAGCCGGGACAAGCTTCTCGAAGACATTGTGAAACTCGCGCGAAACCTGCTTGAAGGTACGCTCGATGGCCTCGTCCTTGCGCTGGTCGAGGACGCTGATCAGATCGTCGATGGACTTTTCGGATGCCTCGAGCTCCTCTCTTCGGCTCGTCAGCGTTTCACGCTGCTTGGTGAAGCTGTTGTACTGCTCAAAGGCCTTCTTATTGACATGAGAGTACTTCTTGAGGCTTTCGTTGACCTTGTGCAGTTTCTTGACCACCGTGTTCGAATCCGTGTTCTTGTACTTGCTGAACGCTTCATCCGGTAGCACACCCAGGTCACGGATGTTGGCAGCACATTCAGCCGCCTGTTTTGTCAAAGCCGCCTTCTTCTGCATGCTCTTCTCCATGCGACGCTGGTGTTTCTCGATGGACTTGGCCAGTTCTTCGAGTTCACGGCGGGTCTCGGCGTTCCGCTGCTCGAGCTCGGAAACACGAGCAGTAGCCTGGTCGATCGAGTCATCCACCTGCTGCAGTCGTTGAGCAAGCTTCTCCAGGGCCTTGTGCAGGCGCTTCATCTCCCGCTGTGTCTCCTTCAGGTTGCCTTGGCCATCGTCGTCGGCCATATCCATATCCTGGCCGATGAGCTGATCCAATCGAGGGTTAAGGTTCTCTCGCAATTCCACCTCAAGAACCGACTTACGAGCCTCGAGCTCACTACGCTGACTGGACAGCTCTTGGTATTGACGTCGCAACTCTTGCGCAGTGTTGTTGAGGGTCTCTAAGCGTGCTTCTTCCTCGTTACTGAGCGCCTTCTGGAACGGTGATTTCAGTTCTGCCTCGAAAGCACTGACTTGATCAGACAAGGCAGCCAGGTTGTTCTCAATGTTGCGGATAGCCCGGCGTTTGGCTTCCAGATTGTCGGTCTTCTTCTGGAGAAGATCGCGCTTGGCCTTCAGCTCTTGTCGCATCGGCCCGCTGCTGTTCTGCACCTGGTGTCTCTGTTGTTCCAATTTCTGCAGTTCGCCTACAGATTTCGTGATGAGCTGGTCAAGCTGCTCCAATTCTTTTCGGATCTCGGTTCCGCGGCTCTTCTTGTTCTCATACTCATCTCTCCACTTTGTCAAGTTCTTCACGGCATCGAGTCTTGACTGCCGCGAATCGTGAAAACCACCAGTAAGGGCACCTCTCTTGTCAGAACGATCCCCCTCCGGCGTAATCGCATTGACTCCGTGACTGCGGGCATACTGTGAAGCCACCTGCAGGTTCGGGCAGATGATGGTCTTGCCAAAGACGTGGTTGAAAGCTTTCTCGTATTTCGCATCAAACTGGAGTTTCTCAATCATGGGGATCGTGTCGCTTGCTCTGGGCATATTGATGGGTCTGGTTCGTAGCCTGTTCAAAGGCATGAATGTGACTCGGCCAGCCTTCTCCTGCTGGAGGATTTCCAAGACTTTCGTGGCAGTCTCGTCGGTATCGACAACATAGTGGAAGAGACTTTGACCCGCTGTAACTTCGACGGAGGTCCGATACCGATCACTAACCTCGAAGAGTTCCGCCAAGGTACCGTATACTCCCTCAAGATTGTACTGGCGCTTGATCCGTCTGACGGCCGCAATACCGCGGCTTGTGTTGTGGTCCATCATCTGAGATAGATTGCGTTCCGCGCGCTCCACTTCGTTCGAGGCGTTCGACAGAATCGAGTCCAGCTTGGCTTCTTCTCTCCACAGCTCCTTTCGCTGGTCCATCAAACGGTCCCTCTCATCCTTGGCGGATTGAACCAGCTGTTCCACGGACTGCATAGTGTCTCCTCTCCCATCAATCATCTTGCGCAAGCGCTCAGTCTCCGGCTCGAGAAGCGCAATCTCATTCTCAAGCTCCTTGATGTCCTCCTGGGTCTGCGCCATGACGTCCTGGACTGAGGAAATGGAAGCATAATTCTCCTTGATCTCTGTCTGGAGCCACTTGTCGCGCTCACTCTTGTTGCGGAAACGGGAGTTGCGACCTTGCTTAGCATACAGCCGTTGGCGTGCCGTCTCTGCTTCGGTGAGCTTGGCCTTGACAGTCTCCTCCTGATCCTTGGCAGCGTTGAACTGAGGTAGAAGCTCGTGCAATTCTGCCTCACGCTCCTGGATTGCCTCCTGCACGGTCTTGAGATCTTCATCGTGACGTGCCTTGAGCGCCAGAGCGGCAGCCTGGTTGTCGGACAGAGACTTGGCCTGCAACTCAACCTGCGCGAGAGCTTTAGAAGCCTCGCGACGCTCGTCTTCCAATTGAGCCTTGTCAACCTTCAGGAATTCGATCTGCTGTTTGCACTCGGCGATCTCCGAGTCAATTTGCGCCATTTCCTTCTCTCCCTGGATGAAGCGATCGCGGTTCATATCAGTGTCCTCAACACCCGTCTGCCTTTGCTCCTCCAAGCTGTCGAGGAAACTAGCAATCTCCTGCTGCTCACGAGAATAGATGGTGTATTCCAAGCATCGGCGTTCCTTGTCCTTCTCTTGATAATTCCTGAGCTCGTCCTTCTCCTCCTCGAGTTCCGCCAGACGCTCGTTGATGAAATCCAGAAGTTCGTCGATCTTGGCGCGCTTGTTGTTCGTCTCGTGCATGATCTTCAGCGACTCCGCCCGGCGGGCCTCGTAGACCTGGGTTCCGGCGACTTCCTTGAGGAGATTGAGGCGCTCGGAGTCCTTCATGTTGGTCAAGGCCGTCACGCGACCCTGGGGCACGATGTAGTACGGGTTGGACCGGGAGAAACCGGCCGACTCGAGCAGGTTCATCACATCGGATTTGGTGGCGTTCTTACGGTCGAGGGTGTATTCGTCTTTCTTCAGGCCGATAGTGCGACGAAGGACCACCTCAGGCTTGCCGGTGGGGAATCGGTCGTCCGAGTTGTCGAAGATGATTTCCACGTACGCCGACATCACCGCGGACCCCGATCCTTCCTATTGACTTGTCAGCTTTCGCTCGCGCGCGCGCGACGGTCGGAGGGGAGCGAGTTGCTCCCGAAGCCACGTACATGGAGAAGCGCCTGGCGCTCTTCTCTACCCAGGTGCGTGTAGGCATCACTGAGAACGAAGCGGATGGCGGCGAAGAAGTTACTCTTGCCGGATCCGTTGCGACCCACGATCACATTGTGTTTCGGCGAGAACGGTTCAATGACTGTTTGGTCCTTGTAGCTGTGGTGGTAAATTCTCCTTAGCTAGGCGTCTCTGACCTAAGAACTATAACCTGATCTCTTACCTCTTGAAGCCCTGGATGATAATCTGTTTGACGTACATCTTGACGAAGCGGCGCGCATGAGACACGAGAAACAATGGCAGTCGATTACAACAACCAAGTCATCACGCGTCAACCACAGACAAAAAAGACCACAAAAGCCTGCACCCTAGTTGAAGGTTGATTGGGGGCTGGTTCAAGGATCTAATCACGACCACCAGGAGTTTAAATGACACTTGCGACGAATGGGTGGTGAGCTATGCGAGCGAAACCACGCGTGACAAACGACCCGATATTGTCGGTGTTCTTCGCAACGCGCGTTGAGAGCGAGCCGCGGGGTTTCTGCCGGGCGGTGACCGTCCACTTTTGGGGCCCGCACTCAAGGTACCCGGCCCGCCGGCTATTTTTTTCCCAATCTGCAATTGTTCAATCATTTTTTTGGGAGGCGACAAATTCGAGGAAATTCTGCCACCATTGTTGGAGAATACCTTTTTGTCGACCATGGCGACTTCAAGCACTGATGCGCAAGCATCTGGTCTGGCCGATGGACTGGCCCTCGCTCACACTTACATTCCCAATCAAGGGTATGTGAACGCCGATGGCAGTCTCCCCGCTATGGCGGGGCAAAATCCTGAAGCGCAGAACGGCGGCGGCGAGGGAGATGAGGAGGACGAGTACTACGACGACATCTTCGAAGAGGAGGACGAAGAAAATGAGGGCCTCAACGAAGAAGACTTCAACTCCTCCAACCCGGCGGATCTCACAAAAGCCTACAACCGGCAACGGAAGGTCAACGAGCTGGCCGCCGATTCCAACGTCCCCAAGTGGACCTACCCGAAGACGAACACGCAGAAACCGACCGTCAACACACACGCCTTGGTCGACGACCAGATCAAGTCGCTGACGAAACACGCCGGCAAGATCAAGCTGGACGCCATGCAGTCGGGCATGGCCGCCCGCGGGGACCGCGGTGGCGACCGGGCTGACCGCGCGACCTCCGAACAGGTGCTAGACCCCCGGACGCGGATGATCCTGCTGCAGATGATAAATCGCGAGATCGTCTCGGAGATCCACGGGTGCCTGTCGACCGGTAAAGAGGCCAACGTCTACTACTCGATCTCGTACCCGAACGCCGACGACCTGACCCCCGTGCACCGCGCCATCAAGGTCTACAAGACGAGCATCTTGGTGTTCAAAGACCGCGACAAGTACGTGACGGGCGAGTTCCGCTTCCGCGGCGGCTACAGCAAGAGCAACAACCGCGCGATGGTGAAACTGTGGGCGGAGAAGGAAATGCGCAACCTGCGCCGCATCCACGCCGCGGGCATCCCCTGCCCGGAGCCCATCCACCTGCGCCTGCACGTGCTGGTGATGGGCTTCTTGGGCAACTCGAAGGGGGTCGCCGCCCCGCGCCTCAAGGACGTCGAGTTCGACATCCCGGACCCGGACGCCAAGTGGCGCGAGATCTACTACGAGCTGCTCGGCTACATGCGCGTCATGTACCAGACCTGCCACCTGGTCCACGCCGATCTGAGCGAGTACAACATGCTCTACCACAAGAACCGCCTCCACATCATCGACGTCAGTCAGTCCGTCGAGCACGACCACCCCCGCAGTCTGGAGTTTCTGCGCATGGACATCAAGAACGTCAGCGACTTCTTCCGCCGCAAGAACGTTGACGTCCTCCCCGAGCGCACCGTCTTCGAGTTCATCATCGCCGAGGACAGCGGCCCCACCGTCCCCACCCCCGTCGAGCCCATGCTCGCCGCCATCGACCACCTGTACGCCACCCGCGCCGAGAAGGGCGATGAGGTCGACACCGCCGTCTTCCGCCAGCAGTACATCCCCCAGACCCTGGAGCAGGTGTACGATTTCGAGCGCGACGCCGAGCAGGTCCGCGCCGGCAAGGGCGCCGACCTAGTGTACCGGGATCTTCTCGCAGGCGGGAAGAAGTCCGCTGACGATGTCGACGAGGACGCCAGCGACGCCGGCTCCGATGTCAGCGGTGGTGGCGTCTCAGTCGAGGGATCCGAGTCCGGGGAAGGGGTGGAGGTCGACCCGTTTGCGCCCAAGCCACCCCGTGGGAAGCGCTTCGAGGACAAGGACGAGAAGCGCGACCACAAGCAGAAGGTCAAGGAGGAGAAGCGGGAAAAGCGCGCTAACAAGATGCCCAAGCACATGAAGAAGCGCTTGGTATCGGGTTCCTCGCGCAAGAAGAAATGATCAACTCCCTTGTTGCTCATTTCCTAAATCCACCCTCTTTATCTTTCTGGGTTGGGAAGTCAACCCCGCCCTTGGCTCTGGGAAAAGGGGGAAAAGTTCATTTTGCTTATGCACGATCTCATGATATATACTTTATGACTCCGGGTTTCGTTCTTGTCTCGTTCTGGGTAGTAATGGTCGGTTGTTGTCTATGTCTATATAGATCACTTGGGAGTAAATAGATACGCATACGTAGAAAGCGTTCGGAAATGTGAATAGGACTCTGGGATTCTGCATGGACACAAATCTGAAGATATCTTAAGCATTTACTATCTCCATCAATTTCCTCAAAGTATGAACCAATCAACCTATCAGAGCTCTCTTTGAACATCAAACTAAGCCATGCACGGGACTAGGTAAACGATAACAATGTGCAGGTGCTTACGTCGCAGAGACGACCATGGCTCAGGAGTATGCATCCAATGAAAAGTTCATGTCCATGTTATACGGACACCTAGCCAGGACATGGCTCTGTGCGTCAGGGCGAGGAAACGCCTATCGGTGATTTCATCATGTAGGTTGACTGGAACATACAGAGGAGGGGGGCGAGATCTGTGTTTCAAACAAATTCTCAAGCTCTGTCAATGAGATGTCAACGACTAGCCGACTTGCTTGCTCCTTGCCTGCAAGCGAGCGAGAGCTTGCTCAACGATCAACTTCGGTAGGTCAGGGATGATTTCATCATCGACGATGGGCTCTTCAGCTGCTGATGGCCGCTGCTCATCGATGGACTCGCCGGCAGCACGATCAGGTGCCTCAGATGGCTCTCCATCTCCATTCTTCACATGGCCGCCAAGGATGCGTCGGAACTCAATCCGCATGGGTTCACGGCCAATGCCAGGCCAGATATCCGACGGCAAGTAGTCACCTTGCTCCACTCGGAATGCTTCGCGAGCATTGACGTCCTCCTCATAGAGCTGGTCCAGCTTGTGCTTCGCATCACGTAGCACTTTCTCAACACGTTGCCAGACATGTCTTCGCCGCGACACTTCGAGAATGAGGCTGTCGTAGGCCTCCAGGAAGCCATCATATAGTGAATTAAGGTCAGAGAGGTCCGAAAGACCGCCGTCAATCCGTTCATGCTCCTCGTTCCATACACGCGTGAAATTGTGTGCCTGCGCAATATAACCGGGTAGACGTGCTGAAGCTAGCGACGAGATGTGACCAAAGACGTCCGTCGTTGCACTGTAAATAGAGAGTAGACTATCCCGGTTACAGACTAGACTTTCCAGAACAGATTCCATCTCGCCAATGCGATCCTGGATCTCCATCACAACATCCTCCGCCTCAGCAGCATCCTTCATGAGTACGTTGACCATCTCCAGATATCCAGACTCACTCAGAGGATCTAGAGGGGCATTTAGATGAGCGTTAATTTCTTCCTCAATGTTAGGGCCACCACGGCCGCTGACATTAACACCAGCCGGCATATCACCAGTGATGTTTTGGGCTGCGGCACCTCCGCCTTCGGTATGCTTGACGGCAGTGACGCAGAGATCGAAGTGCCGCACTAATGACTCTAGCAAATTGGCCATTTCCTGCGCATGCATTTCCAGCGAATGCAGCATGGATGGCATGGATGACAGGCTAGGTAAGCTAGAACTAGAGGCAGACGGCGATGAAGAGGAGGAGGAGCGAGAGGAGGCTAATTTCGTAGCCTCGCGGTAGTTGCCCAGGGCTTTCTTGATCGACTGAAGCTCATCGTCAAAAGCATAGTTGGAAGAATCCAGCTCCGCTTGAGCAGCGTTGGTGCGGTCGATTGAAGCCTTCAGCGCCGCATGAAGCTCGTCGACACCACGTTCATCAACAAAATCATGTAAGCTTTTTTGGTCCTCTCCATTCGGCCGGAAGGAAGAATGAACGATTGTCTCTCGTAAGAGACCGAGGGTCTTTCTGAGACGGGCATCAGCTGCGTCCAGATCCTTCAGAACGCTGGCAAACTCCGATCGACCTCGGAGAGATATTTCTTCCACCTCGGACCGAACACTGTAAAGAAGGCGGAGTTGGTTGTTGAGCCCACGTCGGAGGAACCCTGTACGTGCAGAGACTATGACACTTTCCTCCAATGCGGAACGAGCGGCAGTGACTATCTCATTGGCTCGCCAGACATGATTGATAGAAGATAGCGAACGCTTCGCTGCGACGAGATGCGAGATAAGAGTGTCCAATTGCGGAATTGAGCTTTCCTGGTCTTTCGCGGTCTCGCCCGTAGGGTGCACATCGTTCGATACGGCCGAGGATTCCATGGCTGACGACATCATGGACCGGGCACGAAATCACGACATCAAAGACAGAATAAAGAGTAAGGTTGAGCAGAAGCTCGTACGGCGACAAGTGCTCGGCTAATGAATTCCTTCACGTGCTTGGACAGGTCCTTGAATGCGAGATCTGAGACAGAGGACCAGTGACCCAATGAGACGTGTTCCCTAGGTAGGATATGTCGCGAGAATGGATAAAATTGGTACACAATCACCTCATAAAGCATATGTTGAGTCTCGCCCCCTGTTTGTTTGTGTCTGTTGACGCCTTAATCCAATATTGAGAGTCAATCCCATGCTAACTATGCATCTGGCGGTGAGTTTGATGGACGCTGACTGGTAGATATGGTCTGACTGTGCGACAGCGGTGTAAGCCTCCATTATAGGTCATAAAAGTCCCCTGTCTCAGGAGTCGATCGAAAGTCACCGAGCAAGGCAGAAGGATGAATCAAGGGGGATGAGGTTAGAGGACTGGGCACTGGGCCGACTGACCTTGGTGAGCTACTGCCCGACTGTCCCGCGTCAGGGCAAAACAAGAGTATGGTAACTAACCTAAGGTGAATCCAAAGTGATGACTAAGGTAGAATCATTGCGCGATTCGACGCAAATGGAAGTGATCGGGATCGCCAGTGATACTGGGGGTTAGAACGGGACGGAGGGATAGGTTATGTCCGGGTGCATCCTGAGTTTGTTGTAGTCGGGGGATTCGAGATGACGGAGATGTCACGATAGGCAGGCGGAGAAGAGAGGCCTTAGAGGTCAGGTGTCAGCCTGCCCGCATCGTCACCGCCCAGCGTATGAGCTCCGGAGAGTATGTAGAGACGGGCTCTAGAATACTCAGAATTGATTGCTTATCTTCCTAGATTGACCCCAGATCCGGAGCTCCGGCGTGGTATGCAGCTAAGCCCAGCTAGCCGTCAATCGCCTGGAGTAGTGCACCACTGAGTCAGAAACAAGGATCCGCAGTTGGCAAAAGAGTGGGAGAAGATGGCGACATTGGCGACAGATGGCAGAATTATGGAGATTATGGAGACGGCCGGCTCAATTCTGCCGTGGCAAAGCGCTTTTACCGCTGTTGTGAACTCCAGCCGCGATGGCGCAATCGCCGCACGTGACTCGGCCGCCCCCCCAGTCAGTAGCCGACGAGGCATGCTTTGCGTGATCGCTGCTCGATGTCGCGATCGTGGAAGAACACATCCCTTTTTTCCTCCAATTCTTATTTATCTACCTATACCCTTGCGCTGTTTCTCGAAGTGAATTTTGGCTGGTCCATATCTTTTCGTTGAACGACTATTATATCCCGCATTGAATTTACCCTTACTACATAACGACCAACCAACCATAGTTACAATATACTACACTAAATCTGCCTCCCGCCTCCCGCCCTGACCCCGAGTCACACTACCTTTGCGCAACTACGACCTTGACGACTGCTTCAATCAAACAAGAACCTTTACTTACCAGGGTCCTCATTACACGCCTTTCCTCCCCACCCTCTTTTATCGCAGAAACAAATCTCTTCAAGCTATTTACTGGTTGACCAGACGCTCTGAAATTCACAGCGACCTTAGAACAGTGATCGTTGCGACAGCCGAGGCCACGCAAGCCTGTGAACACTCAGGCGCTTGGGCACGTCCACTACTTCGCATCGACAACAGAGATGGAAAACGCTCGGCAAGAAGATGATATGATCGTCCCCTCGCAGTCTTCGGTGCAGTCTATCTTCGGTGGACCAGCTGAAGCCGTCGACTACAGTAACGATGCCGATTCCGACACTCATCAGCACGAGCCCCACAGCCCTCCCGACCTAAAAGCAACTTCTGCGACCCTCGGCGATCAAAGCGTGGCACCTTTTCTCGCTCGACACGTTCCCGAACAGTACGGCGCTCTTGGACCCCAGAACAAGGGCCTGATGGAGCTGAGCGGCGCGGATTCACGCTATTGTTATCGCCATAGGCCTGACCGTAAATGCAGGCGACAAGCAGACGAGCCGACCATGGACAAATTACAGCGAGTGAGTCTTGCCATACCCCGCCGATCTATTGCGCGATTATTTTGACAATTGCAGCATGCAATTCTAGTTTTTCTTCAAGCTAATCGTTTTCTTGCATAGGAATTGGAAACACTGCCGCAGAGCGATCAGCAGGGTATCGCACATGTTTGGTCCCTCTTCTCCGCCGCGCCAGCAAAACACCGAAAATTGCTCCTTCAGGGTATCATGGCTCAATGCTGCTTTCCGCAACTTTCCTTCATTTCCGCGACCGTTCGAGATCTCATCCGCATCGACTTCATCGCGGCACTTCCCCCGGAGATCTCTTTCAAAATTCTGTGTTACCTGGACACAACTTCACTGTGCAAGGCCGCGCAAGTATCACGGCGATGGAGAGCTCTCGCAGATGATGACGTGGTTTGGCACAGGATGTGCGAACAGCATATTCACCGCAAATGCAAGAAGTGCGGCTGGGGACTTCCTCTACTAGATCGAAAGCGTTTGCGGGAATCGAAGCGTGAAATTGAACTGCGCGCCACAAACTGGGATATCAGCGGACCGGCAGCGGGTGCTGCTACCACCTGCAACGCGGAGACTGATGCGGCAGCGGTTGTTCCAGCGAACCCAGCGAATCCAGCCAAGCGAAAGCCTGATTCGAGCGAGGAACAGTCCACTCTCATCAAACGCCATTGCTCGTCGCTTGCTCCGGCCCCGGGCCTTGGGAATGACGACGCCTACTTCAAGACACGATACAGACCTTGGAAGGAAGTCTACAAGGATCGTTTCAAAGTGGGAACGAATTGGAAATATGGACGCTGCTCCGTCAAAGTTTTCAGGGGCCATACAAATGGTGTGATGTGTCTCCAATTTGAGGACAACATTCTTGCCACGGGGTCTTATGATGCTACGATCAAGATTTGGGATACCGAGACTGGCCAAGAGCTGCGCACGCTTCGTGGACACGAATCTGGCATTCGTTGTTTGCAGTTTGATGACACCAAATTGATCAGTGGTAGCATGGACCGCACCGTCAAAGTGTGGAACTGGCGCACCGGCGAATGCATTTCCACCTATACCGGCCATCGCGGTGGTATCATTGGCCTACACTTTGATGCCACTATTCTCGCTTCTGCATCTGTTGATAAGACTGTCAAGATTTGGAACTTTGAGGATAAGTCGACCTGCCTTCTACGGGGACACGCAGACTGGGTCAACGCAGTGCGGGTGGATTCGATGTCTCGTACAGTGTTCTCAGCTTCGGACGATTGCACCGTCCGACTCTGGGACCTGGATAGCAAGACCTGCATTAGGACATTCCACGGGCATGTGGGTCAAGTCCAGCAGGTGATCCCGCTTCCTCGGGAGTTTGAATTCGAGGAGCATGATGCGGAGTGTGAAAACGACAATGTCAGCACCATCTCCGGGGACATCGAGCCGGCCTCTCTTCAGGCTACACTGGGGTTAGAGTCCAATTCTGTCATGTCGCAGAGCTCGCCTTTTGGACCCGCTTTCGCAGACGGCCGTCCAGCACCACCGCGCTACATCGTCACCAGTGCTCTAGACTCGACGATCCGTCTGTGGGAGACGAGCACCGGTCGCTGCCTGCGCACGTTCTTCGGCCACTTGGAGGGTGTCTGGGCTCTTGCCGCCGACACCCTTCGCATTGTCTCGGGAGCCGAAGACCGCATGGTCAAGATCTGGGATCCCAGAACGGGCAAATGCGAGCGCACATTCACTGGTCACTCCGGCCCCGTCACTTGCATGGGACTCGGTGACAGTCGCTTCGCCACCGGCAGCGAGGACTGCGAGGTCCGAATGTACAGCTTCCAGAGCTGATGCCTTCTCTTTTTTAATTCTTTCTACAAATCTCCTTCCGCTAAAAGCTACGAGTGGCTTGGTTTAATGTTTGTTGTCATTGAAACTTTATGAAAATACCCATCATGTTTTCTATTTTCAGGCGTGGCTGGAGGGTTCGGATGGCTGGAGGAAGCCTGGCGTTGGTGTTGTGTTGTTCTGCTGGTCTTCTTAGGTTATGACCTATTTCCAATTCATCTGGTAATGCGGTTTATCATGGTTTAGAGTGTGCTACGTAAACTAAAAACTGAAGAAGTCTTTGTGAAATCTCTTGGGGTTTAGACTGATGCTAAGTGTGTTGGTGCTTAGAGATGCCTAAGAATGGCTTTAAGCACAACAATACTAGGTAGCATCTTCCTCTTGCCCTGAAGTAAAGCGCACACATCCCATTGTTAAGAGTATGACACTGAAATATTCTCCCCAAAAATGCACATCATCTCCCCTGGAAGATGCTCATACTACTGACTCATAGACAGACACACACACGTTCCACATCATGTATTGATCCATTCAAATCTTTGATAATAGAGTATAGAGCTTCGAGGTTCATTCAGAAACCACACATTCCCGTAGTAAACCAAGCTATATAAAACCCCCATGCTCCAAATATACCACCTAATGCAGTTAACCCCAGCCCGACAAGCAACCAAAATCACCAGAAAAAAAAAACCTAAAGTGTAATAGCTAAGCCGCAGCAAATCAAAACAAACCAACCCAACCCAAACAACCATACAACCCCAACACTCAGTATATATCCCATCTTCTCCAACCCACACAACTCCCACCCCAAACTCAAGGCTTGCACGCCAACCCCTCCAACTGCTGCGCAACGAGCAGCGTAGCCACGATAATCAGAATCATGATGCCGATCTGGCCGAACAGGATCCAGTGCTGGTTGCGGACGATGGCCTCGTTGGTTCTGAGAAGGTGCTCATCCATACTGGCTTGCTTGAGGTGTATAGAGTTGGCATGGGCTGCAGAGGCTGTGGAATGCGGTGTTAGTGAGACTCGAGCTTTGAGTGGATGTTTTGGATGCTATTCTGGATGTTATGGCTGCTCTTACCAGCTGGACTGAGCGTTTGTGTTGCGACGACTCGTGGGCTGGTCGAAGGGAAGGAGCCATGTCCTCCTGGGATGGGGATGACGATGTAGTCCATCTCGTGGGTTTCTGGGGGTGGAGATGAGGAGGAAGAGGAGGAGGAGCTGGAGCTTGATGAGGACATGGTTCTTCAGTTCAGTTGAGTGAAGCTATATCGAGAAGGAGAGGATGTAGTGTTTCAGAGGAGGTTGGAATGGATATTGGAGAAGGACTTGAAGATAGATAGAAATTTTGTTGCAGAAGATCAAGATCCTGCACTACCGAGGTGCGTTTTGCTAAAGATCCAGCGGCTGATGTCCCCATTACGTCCTTTCCACGTTGAAGATGATTCACAGTCTCCCTACACCAGAAGGACCGGCGGTGGTGATAATGATGAAGTCAGCTGGACACTCGACCAGCCCCAGCCCTATAAGGATAAGTATTTCCACGCCGACCTGTGCCGTCCAGTTCTCACCATTTCAACCCGCATAGAGAAGCCTATAGAAAAGATCAAGAGAGCATCCCCAACAATGAAGCCCGAGTTATCACCATACCAAGACCCGCTAGACCACACCCCAAGAACGACCACCCCCCCACCCGCGTACATCACCATCGACTTATCTGGCAGCGCAGAAGTCTACGGCCTCGAAGCATATCCATCCACATACAATGACGAAAGGCCTCAGCCCATCTACGTTCCACCGCAGTCCACCGTCACCGTCACCGCCACTGTCTCAGAACCCGAACCCGAACGAAGACGTCGTGAGTCTTTCCCACCGCCACATATCCCCACAAAACCATCCTGCCCAGTTTCCTCCAACAATCTAACCCATGAAATTGCAGGACAATGTCCCCCCCTTTCCTCCATCATCACTGAAATCGTCATGACGGCCATAATCGGCGGGGCCTTTGCCCTCACAGTGGTCGCGATTGTTTTCAGAGTGAAAGACGGTAATCTCCATTTCTTCCCTCCCCTAGATCACTTTTATGGGCAATTCCATATGGCGTGGAAGTTTGCACTGACGATGTCCTCTCCCTTTTTCCGAATCCAGCAAAAGCCGCTGCCAAAGCTGCTTCTTGAAAGCCACGGTTCCGTTTTTCTGCCTGCTCTCAACCCTCTAGATTAGTCTTCAGGGTAATAAATGTGGGTGATGTGATTGGGGGATTAAGCTGGGTAGGGCTTTGCTCTGTTGGCTTCAGGAATGGGGCCTGGGTTTTCTTTGCTCTGCTCTTCATGACTTTTAGGGGTCGAGGGGATCATTTGCTGGGTGTTTTTGGTTCTTGCAATATGAAGAGTATAGGGTTAAGTTTATAGTTGGGCTAATACCCTATCTTAGAGGGCCTGGCTTATAATTTATCGTCGATCTCATATACTGCAAGCTAGGTACTTTGAAAATAGCTTTTGCTTAACACATCTTTCAGGAAGTCTATATCAGTATCAGTTTATCACCGAAGATCAAGATTCTGCCCAGTATCAAGATGTACTACATTCTGCTCCAAGCTCCAGCAGCTGATATCTTTATTACATGCTTCCTACGCGTTGAAGAGGATTTACATCATCTCTACACTATAACAAACCGACAGGAGTGATTAATGAAGTCACTTCGTCACTTGACCAGCAACCGCGCTGCAGACCTAGCTATATAAGTATCTCTACACTGACTGATCTCGCTTCAGCATTTCCTTGTTCCTTTGACCTACTCCCCAGAAAGAAGCAAACCTATAAAGAGAAGTCTCAGAAGTCTCTCGTCTACAATCATGGGACCCGAAGAATCCTATCCACCGCCATACCAAAACCCTCAAGACCACCCTTCGTCAACAATAACCATCCCACCACCCGCGTACATCACGATCGACCCATCCAGCAGCGAAGAAGTCCACAAGCTCGACCACTTCCCACCCAAATCCGACGACATCGGAGCCAGCTTCACCAACCCAGCCAAGTCCACCGCCACCGCCACCATCTCAGAACCAGAACGTCTCCACCAGCCCCCTGCAGCCCTACCCAAACCCAGCCTCTCATTCAAGCCCATCACCATCCCCACCACCGCTCTCAAAGGCAAACGCAAACGCAACCCTCCCAACAGCAATCCATATCCATACGCAGGAACCCTACTCCGCAAACGTGAGCTCCCCCGCTGCCATAACATCACATACCAAGCCTTCCAATGCATCCTCCAATCTAAACCTCAACCCAGGCGTATGCCCCTGCTCCAGAAGCAGTATCATAATAGGAGTTATCCTGCTCAGTGCCATCGGCTTATTCATCGGCGGCCTATGCTTTTTGCTCAATTGGGAAGGTAAAACTGCATTCCATTCCCTTCTTCGTCTACGTTGAAGAAAAAGCCCCCGAAAGAAGACCCTGGGCTGAAAATGCTGTCCCGAAAAAAAAAAAAAAAAAAAAAAAAAAAAACTAACAGAGTCTTCTCTCTCCGAGTTTAGAAAAGAGAGAGGCCGAAGCAGGGCTTACTCATCTTGACTTCTGGGGCGCCTTTGTGATAGCTATGAGCCCCTGGACTTGGTTTTCGTGATCATGAGGCGGTGATGGAATTGGGAGGTTTGGGTGGGGTCCACGGTAGGTAGGGCTTGCTCGGTTGGCGTTTAGTTAAGAGGTTGTTTGCTGTCGTGGGCTTTTGGGGCATGGAGTTATGGCCTAAATTGGGTTGATGGTTGGGTTTGCATTCTAGAAGCGAGGTGCTTTGGGTAGAGCTTTGGTGGAGTGGGTGAGTGTGTAGGAGGTGTGTTGACATCGCGCTTAGAAAGCAAGACTGGGGTAGATGGGTTATGCTGCTATTCACTTGTTGGTGTAAGCTTAGCTGAAATTATTATTCTTACTTCTTTTCTATCTGTGTATATAGTAGAATGTACAGTATTCACCCCTATAATCAGTAGCTGATCTGTCTTCAAGCCAAAAAGTCACAGATTAAATCAAGGATATTAGAGTAGAAGTGCACACAGAAGGCAATCATCATAACCATATCATCTGAACTGTAAGAAGAAGAAGAAGAAGAATACCGCTGTTTGATCATAAAGCACTATAGGTTATACAGCAGCAGCGATAACATCAATATCAATGTCGGCAATCTATTGAGTCTTTAGTGCAATTAATAGACCCTTCTATAGAAAAAACAACAAAACAGTATCCAAGTCTAAACTATCGTTTTGGGACTTCTATTTTTACTTTTGTGTAAAAGCAGGTAGAAGTAAAATCAAAGCGTGAAAGACACACGTAATAGAAATAAAGAATAACTAAAATCAACAGATTAGTAAATTGCATATATAATTACCAAAAATAGAATCAATTGACCCAGTTCATTAAACAAACATAAGAGGAAAACCTTTCATCTTGCAAAACAGATAGGGCAGGTGTACAAGCTCATACCAACTTATCCTAATATCTCAGAAAGACAACTAGGTCTGACACAGATAAAACAAAAATAGCAGCAGCTATAGTATATGCCAACAATTTACTTGTTATTATACTTTACTATCCCGATTATTGTATCTTCATCCACCCTGCTAATGTAAAGAAATAATTCATGATTCTATGATCTTTGCGAGCTATGCGTTGTTCCAAAAACCTTCTCACCTTGCAGCTCTTGTGAGCGGGGTAAGGACTACTAATAATGAGATCATGGATGCCACAAGCACCCTCCTGCTCTCTGTTCCAGTTTAAAACCTGCTCTTGCCCCCTAGATACAGCATACGCCTCTCAAGAATCTCTAGACTAGACCGAACACTTCTCAAAAAATGCCCCGCGACGCAGACTTCCTCAGCCCCCGCGAGCTGCTGGTCAATGATGGGTTTGTCTGCAAGCTTGCCTCCTTTCGCAAACTGGGGGATCTCTGCATCAAGAATGAAAGACTGCCCGATTCTGACGACAGCCTGATGCAACAAGCCGGCTTTGAGAATAAGGCCTATAACGTGGTGGTATGTCCTCTCTGAGACATCATTGACACAGATTCCACCTACGGACAAAGGCACTCTCCCCTCCTGGCTAACTGCGTGTCAAGCTTCCGTCTTACTTGCAGCCCATCCCCATTCAATTCCAGACGGTATTGCTCAGTCCATATTCCACGCTGCCCCTCACTCATTCACTAACGGTAGACAGGTCCGGCAAGTCGCTAATAACCTCAATGTACGCCGAGAATCTCGCATCGCTGCTGCTTAACTTGGAAGAGGACAACTCAGCCCTCCTCCCCCAGACGTGGTTCCCATTCTACAAACTGACAATCACACGTCTTCATGTGACAGGGAGAGTACAACTATACCGAGACTGTGTGCAGCACGGCCTTGAAACTTTGTTCCGCCGCGTCGGACGATTACGGTACGTGTCCATTCTTGTCTCTGCCCCAAAAGAGACATCGAAACTTAACCACTCACACTTGACCTAAAAAAAAAAAAAACCAGACAAGATATTCCAGGACATGGAGGCATTGAGACAAGACCCCGACAACGACAACCTCAGGGACAAGGTCCAACAAGAGATCACCGATCGAAAGTACCAAATCGACATACTTAAAGACCAGGCGGACGCCTGGAGCTCGAATCTCAGAACTTACAGCCTGGATGCGGAGGATTGCGAGACCAATGTGCGTCAACTGGCTGCCCCGTTTCAGGGAACGACGCTGGCCGACATTTTGAAAGATGAGATCTCCGATCCCGAGGACCTGCAAATGGACCTTGATGCTCTGGACTGGACTAAAGTAGGTTCCGACCTTGACAGGCGCTGGACTGCGTGCTTATAATTGACTTCCAATCAGAATCTGCTCGAGAACTTTGCCATGATCGATGACTTGCAGGATTCACTGCAGGAGGTCCAGAAGATGGCTGGTATGTCCTGGCATTTGTGGTCATCCAGCCTCTGCGTTAACGTGATAAGCAGGAGCTGCTTACCTTATTGCAGACGATATAGACGTGCTGTTGAAGTACGTTGAGGATCACCTTGATCCCGGTGATAACCCGTTAGATGGCCTGGTACAAGCGACCCTTCTGCGTAAATGGAAGAACCTGGAGAATGACGGTATGTCAAGGTCCAATGTACCCTGCTTTGTGAAGAAAACTGCCTGGTGCTGATTTAGTTGCCCAGTCAATGATTTTCTGGATGCATACAAACAGTAAGAATATATTTGATAGGTAGTTCAGTGATTGGGCACATATGATGACTACCGTGTGCAACCAAAGCTCTTGTATTGGCTCCACAGAGGACAAGATGCAACGGTAGTTGAGACGAAAACACATGAAATCATAATGAGAAGACCGGCCGGTAGAACGCGTCCCAGTGCAGCTCCAGTTCCTCCAGTGTACTTAAATCCAGGTCCGCGGGGTTTTCAAGGGTGAGTTTCCAGAGTGTAAACGGCGGAGGTTGAGCGTGCTCGTGGTCATCGTACGTGGCTCGCTCCACGTCGCGGAGCCACGCGCCCGACTCGTCAACCTCGTAGACATAGCGGTTCTGTCGGGGCTTGCTGACAAAATGCCAGACCTTGGATTCCTCCGTGTCGGCGTCATATCCGAGATCCGAATAGGTCCCGGAGGTTTCGATGCGCAACCTCACAAACGCGCGGCCATCGTGCACCGCGTCGGGCGTAGGTTTCACCCCGAGCAGGCGAGGCTCCAGGCCATTCAGACGGTAGTGGAATCCCCCGGTGAAGGGGTAAGCGTAGTTCTCCGGGCCCGGGTCGTAGTTGGCGCCTGGAATGGGCAAGAGCGTGAACGTGGCACTATACCCTTGCGCACTGCTCTTCAGCCCTGCGATAACCGTCTCGGGAAAACTGGATGCTAACTACGAATTGTGCTCTCGTCAGTTTTGGTCGTCAAATACCTAGCCAGAGTTGAATCTTTCCTGGGCCGCCGGGGCTCGTACCTCATCAGAAAATGTGATAGGAGTGGTAGCTGAGTCGAAGACACGGATTAGCAGTGCGAACTCCTAGAACGTCACCGAAACCTGGATTCGACCCACGCGTGTATCCATTTGCATATTGATTCTTGACATCTTGCATCGCACCCCGTAGATATGCAATGCAGTTGGTTATATCCTCCACCGACATCTGTGAGTCCAGATTGACCTCAGGTTCTTCCAGAGTGTAGAAGCGACAGGCATCGACCACATATTGCAACTGAATGGCGAGCGTGGTCCGCAGCTGGAGGTATCGATCGTAGAACTTCGCTTCGGCTTGAGCATAAGCATCTTCCTCTTCCTCGTAGTGGGCGAGCAGTTCGTCGATGGCCTCGATGTCGCGGTTGGCTTCGAGCACGAGGAGGGTGGCCTGGACGTATTCCTGCCCTTGCTTGACAGCCTCGGCCTGGGCCTGGGCTAGTGCTCGGCCGTGCACCGCATGCTTGCGCAGGGTCAAGCGGTACTCACTGGCTCCCTCGATCGCGGGATCGTGCTGCGATGTGGCCCATTCCATTTGTTTGTCGGAATTCAACTCCCACTCATCCCAAGCGGCCAGGCTCATGATCAAGCTGGCGTTTGCATCGGTCCCATCGGAGCCGGAGACGTCGCCGCCCAAGGTCGGAAGGTCAATATCATCATGATCTCCCAGACGGTCAATCTTGCCCGCCGCACTGACAATATCGGCAATATGGGGGTACAGCTTCCCCAATGCCTTGGTATACTCCCACAGTTTCTTGAAGGTCTTGAAATCGAGAATGACATCTTCCGCCGCCCCTGCTGAGTTCTCTGCTTCCATAACGTCTTCGACGATCTTTTCGACCGCGGCTGGGTCGCCCGCCCCCTTCCCTACGGCGTAAATTCCGGCCGCAAATTCTAAAGGCGGCGGCGCCACGGACATGTCAGTGCAAGGAATATGGCCCCCCTGACGGGGATTAGAACAAGGGACAGGGGAGGAGGGGGGCACTAACGAAAGATGGCACCGAGGATTGTGCAGATTGCCAGGAAGGTCTGCTTCTTTATCCATGCATCAAGACCGTCTTGGAACCTGTCCTGTGCAAGTCTTAGTTCTTCATCATCATCACTAAGCATTTTGTCGCAGGCTTCGACGGTAGCGGCTGCCGACTGATATTTGGCCAATGCCTGCGCCTGTAGATCGATTCTGGTTGACTGTGTGTTCTGAACGGTTTTCAGAAGGGCCTCCCCCGCCGCCTTGGCGTCATCGACTTGGTTTTCGGCGGCCTGGAAGCGCTCGTACTGGTCCTGAAAATCCTCGGCGGCCTGTCGCTGGGTCTCAAGCGTGAGGACATACTCGTCAAAGGTGAGGGTCGGAGCATAATAGGAGTCGGGCCCGGTCATGGCATGGGCCGCCAATTGCTGGCCCAGGGACACGGCTTGGGCCTGCGACAGCGTGTGCGAGCCCGCGGTGGCCACGGACTTGGCCACCCACGAGCAGATCGAGATGGCGACGGCGGGGGATGACCAGCAGACCGCGAGGGCGACTCGCAGTTCCGTGTCCAAGAAGGCTTGGTAGGCCGCGGTCCGGTCATCTCCGTGTCGGTCGCTGTAAGAGACCTCCAGCTTGCCACCTTCGAACTTGATCTGTGCTTGCAAGTGGTCAGAATCCACTCCAAGGTCCAGCTCCGTGCGCTGATCGCCCTCGATCGAAACACTGATCGGCTGATCGAGAACGGCGGCATAAATCACCATGATGCACTTTTTGGCGCCACTCTTGGACATATTGAGATGGACGGGCTGGTCGGCGGTGATCACCCGGGCGTTGACTTCGAGCTCGGTCAATTCCTCGGCCGACATTTGGATCTCGGGCGCGGTCAATGCGAGCACATCAGTGTAGATCTCACAGTAGCGGGGGAGCTGCTGCAGGATGGGTGTTCCATCGCAAAAGATAGAACGGTAGGTTGGTCCCTGCACGCGAAGGAGGGATTCTTAGAGCAGATTGAAAGGGAAAATACGACAGGGATCGATTCATACCATTGCATTGTCTTCATCCTTGGACTCATGGTTTGGGATGTCGTCCACCTGCTTCATCTGGCTGAATTTCTGCCATTGTGCAGGATTGTTAGGATGTGTGTCGGTAGACATGCTGCATCAATTGATTTGCATGAGAACTGTATAAACTGAATTGGCGATAAGAATTTGCTTTGTATATCGGAGAGGACTGCTTAACGCGGGTGATGTTCTTAAGTTCGATTGGGGTCTCGCTGGCAGTGACTGTGACTGTTAGCAACTTAGCTACATCATTCTGCTGCTGGAAGGTTGCACTGCATGCAGTGCGTGATTTGATTCCCTGTTTTAGACAAACACCACAACAAATTCTCTCGTGGAATAAATCATCCATCATGCCAGACTCGCATCATCTGTACATACCCCCGGTCGTCCCCACATCATGTCAGCATGCAGCCTGCGTTTCCATGGTTCGGGCAACAATAAGGCAGCCGATCGACCCGATGCTGCAACCCAGCCTTGCTTTACACTTCAACAGCATGACTCGCAGCTGTACGCCAAACCCTGCACATGCAACTCGGAACCAGACGGCTACAGTACAGTTCGAGCGGGGCTGGCATCAGTAGATTATACCCACCATCCGTGTCGAGCATCTTCTCAGACCATAAATAACCAGTTCGCTCGAAGTGATGACCATGTCGAGTCCTCAGCATCTGAGTCAACAACTCCTCAACCTGCCTCATCTTCACATTCACACCATCTAGATCCGCACGGCCCAAGATGTCCACGGCCCGCGACGACGAAACAAGATGGTTCCCCATCGGACAGATGGTGGAAACGCCTTCGCGCGCTGCTCGACGGACCGGCCAAACCGTGAAGGATAGTGATAACAAGGACGATGATGGGCCCACCTTTGCCTACGCCGACGTGGACATGGGAAAACTGAACCGCTATCTCCATGGTGGAAGAGTGTTACCACGCGACAAAGACAGTTTCTGCCAAAAGGTCGGCATCTTGGACCAGAGCAAGATCACCGACCACATCTGGACCCAGATCAATAGCTTGATCGGGACTTACAAGGAGGCAAGTCGAGTCTCTTCATGAGTTCATGCCTTCCCAAGTGCAACCCAGTATAATAAAGTCGATTCCCGCTGACCTGGCTATGCAGATCTACACGGACTGCACCGATTTCCTCGGTAGTGGCAGCAGCTCCGAAAAACCCAGACAGTGGACGAAAGAGGATGATGGCGATGACAGCGCCTTTGATGCCCTCTGTACTTTCGATAAGATGAACACCCTTGCGTCGCAGATTTACGGCTACGCAGACACCGCCGGGGCGGATGACAACTCTTATTATCGGTTCATGTTCCAGCAGTGCAATAAGTACAATGATAAAAACGCAACTGAGGAGCAGAGGCGGGAGGCCCAGAAAGCCATTCTGGATGTTACGGAGGATTTGCTGAGTGATATCGCACCAATGCAGCTCCACGCTAAGAAGGTCTCGGATGCCCTCGAATTGTTCCAAACAGCCTGTGAGCAGAGAGAGAATGCGCTCGTGGACTCTGAGACGAGCATGACCACCATCCTCAACGTGGATCTGGGAGACATCGACGACTTGCGGGACAAGATCGACTCGCAGCTGGCGGATATTGCTGCTGACCAGATTATCATCGATAAAGGTCAGTCCCAGAAACAAAGCCCGTCTAAACTCTTCGCGCTCAGGCTGTTGACTTGTGAATGACGTTTAGATCGCTATGATCAAAGAATGACCGCGGCATACGTTTGGATGTAAGTTTGGCTCACTCTCTCACTCACCAGGTAGCATCCTGTGCGCCCCTGCCACTCCCTCCCCCCCCTTCCAAAACTAACCTGTTGGCCATAGCCCTGTCATCGGGACAATCGCTGGCCCCGTCGTATTCGCGGAAAGACAGGCGGATATTGAGAAATACGAGAAGAAGATTGCGGGCCTGAAGGCGCTGGTCAGCTCCGAGCAGGAAAAGGTTGCCCTGCATCAGCAACTCCAAGGCCATGTCACTGCGATGTCGGTAAGCTCACCATCCCTGGGTTGCCTAACAGAGAATCCCGGAACTAACATCAGATGTTTAGAAACAATGCCAGAACCTGAAAGCACTCATCGGTCCGGCTATAGATACGGCCGGGAAGCTTAAAGGTGGCTGGGACTTGATATCACATGAGATCGGATTCGTCCACGATGCCGCGGAGAATTTTGAACATAAGATCCCCGGCGTGGATTTGGCTGATTACCAGCTCCAAGCTATTGTTGGAGAGTGGAAAAAGCTCTATAAGGGTGGTATGCATCTTTTCCCCTTTTGCGCTACTTATGTTCCACATATATGTCCTTTGCTAATGCGATGATGCAATACTCAGTCAGGGAGTATATCCAAACGGCTCCAGTCGTACCGTATACTGATGTCATGTCAATTGGTGACTACCATGATCAGATTAAGGACTTGATAAATTGAGCCTGCGCATGGACACCAACCGGGTAATGAGCGGTGGAAGGTAGTAGGGAAACCGTCAAATCTGCATTCTTCAACCATAATATACGGGGTCCGAACCTGATTATGTTTGATGCGTCTGAGATGCAAGTAAGCTGCATATTCGTACTTTCTATATTGTAATTTTCATCTCAGATATTTTCTAAAGCTCTACATACCTAACGTAATGCTTATACTTCAACTTTATTATCATATAGATTAACAAAACTTATACTATACCCCTATCTAAGTACATGAAAGTTTTAAAAATAATCATATACTACTTTTACTGCAGCAGCGGCACCCCTACAAAACAAGCAAAGAGGATTTACAGCCAACCATTCCAGTAAAGCAATCGATTCCACTCACTCTCATAAATCATACACTCGTATCCAGCCAGCGCAACCTCCCAGCATCTCGTAAACCAACCTCCCCAGCCCAGCCCACCTCCAGCTCACCCATCCCGCAGACCCCATATATACACTACACTACCTAGTATCCAAACCCCCACCCCGACGCAACCCCACAACCCCGAGCCCAAGCCCGACCCCGATTCCAACCCCAAACCCCCCAGGCGTACCAACCACAGACCAACACCCCCCCGTCCCGCCAGCATCACCACCCGAACTCGCCGAACCCGAAGAAGGATGAGCATGCGCCTCCAATCCCGCGTCCCCGTCACCATCCCATTCCCGCTCAGCAGCAGCAGCAGCGTCCGCAACATCCGCAACATCCATCCTGGCCTTGCCCTTGCCCTTCCCCTCCCGCAGAATAGGCGTATCTCTTCCCATCCGACTTCCCATCCCTTCTCCATCCGCCTTCTCCCACGTGAACGAACTGCCACCCTCCCAACTCCCGGTCCCCTCCTCAAGGGTATCAGGATATCGATCATAGACCAGCGAATACATCTCCCGAGGGGTTCCGTCTCCCTCCCCTTCCTCGCCCAGGACAAGAAGGCTGGGCCCCAGATCCAGGATGCTGATTTCGCTATCTGTTAGGGAGAGTTCGCGGTGGCGGGGCGGGATGGTGATTGGGTGGTGGTGTATGCTGGTTCGTTTGGGATGGTGGGATGGGAGATGGTTATGGCTTGGGGTTGGGGTGGGGGTCGAGGCCGTAGTCATCATAGTGTAGATCTGCTCTGTGGTAGTTGTGGGTATGGTTGTCGGGGAGGTAGGCGTGGCTGTGCTGTGTTTGTTGTTGAGGGTGCGAGTGAATCGGAGAGGAGGAGATGACGACGACGATGATGCTGACGGAGGTGGAGGTGGAGGTGAAGATGGCGATGCTGCGCGATGCATTTCGTGGCTGTCTTTCATTCTCTCTTCGGTTGTTGAGTTGGTGGTGGGATGCTCGTGGTACTGGAGATTTTCTCGTCTGTAGTCTGGAGGAGACGAGATAGGATGGATGGATGAGCACCGCAGCAAAGAGGCGGACCTGATAGCAGGTTAACTGCAGTCCCAGATGGAAATCCAGTTAAAGCCCCAAAAATTGGATAGATGACGAAAGCAAGAGAGAAAAAAGAGTAGACGCTTTTTGGAATGAGAGAAGAGCCTGAGCCTGTAGGCCAGAAGTGAGCGAGTGAATGAGTCCCGTGCCTTCCTGATCGGGTGATATGCTCTTTGTCTGAAGACTCTGGGTCCTACAGGTACAGTACGGTGGCTGTCGTACTTGTACCTTACATGGTATGTGGTAGGCACCTATTCAAATGTCTGGCTGGCCATGAAACTATCTTCTTTATCACCAGGTACGTTCATTGTCGGGGCTGCCTCTTTGTTCACTTAGACTTCCTCAGATCATCGTTCCACAGCACAACCTCCCTGCTATCTATAGTAGCCCCCATTAACGCCCCCGACCTTACCAGCTGACTGGGACTCGTATAGCGCTGATCACTTGAGGCTCTGTTCATGTCGATGGACTATAAGAAACATTGAATTTGAATATGTATTGGCTGCATATGCTGAACACTTAATTATTCTGGAATACATCCCGAGGGCACAATCAACCACTTATGTACTGTACCGCTATCCAGCCCTTGCAAGCCAATTACGCATCAACCTCATTGTGACACCAGCGTATCACAACCACGTGGGCCGTCTGTACATCTCTCCTCTCTACTCCGTACGACACCACCTGACAAGTACCTAGTAGAGTTCGATGCAGCAACTGCTGCTCTACCATCTTCATTCACGAACAAGCTTTTAATCAGGCAACCCCCCCCCCCCCCCAGTTGCCCCAAACATTCCACAAATATAATGCAGGGACGCCTCTCAGCCATCCATCCCCATAAATGCAATGCAGCCCCCATACCTTCGCCACCCATCCTTGCCAGACCTGACGAAGCCATCATCTCTTCCCAGTGGGCCCCATCCAGTCCATCAGAAGTCGAATGCAACCATAAGAACTCATCCACTTCGTACCATGATATCATATAAATCCCCACAAGGCCCAAAAATTAACAATCACCCGACCCTGGCGCTGTATAGAGAACACCGTGTATCATTCATTTCACGTTTCCAAAAGAAAATAACAAAGAAAATCATCTCGCCATAAAATTATGGCAAAATTCGGTCTTCCTCGTTCACCTGCAATTCCACCACTGGCAGATCGTCATCGTCGTCGTCATCTCCATCCCCACCGAATGGGTGCAGCTCCTGGAAGGAGGTCTCCTCCGTGGGCGTGCCAGGGAAGCCAAACCCCCCTCCGGGGCTGTCAGTGAGAGCCGCCATCCGGAGGTCGGTGTCGCTGACGTCACCGCCACCAACGGCCTTGTTACTGTCATCGTCGTCGAGCAAATCATCATCAGAGATCGATCCCCGTTGCGCTGCGGTCATCTGTGAAGGGCCGTGAGCATCCGAGATTTGACTGAACGACCACGAGGGCGGGTCCACGTGGCGGAACGGGCTGGGTTGCGGTCCGTGTCCGAACTCCTCGTCTTCGAAATCCATACCTGACAGTCGATTGGCTTGGCCCATGCTCTGCTCGCCATACGAGGGGCTGTTGGAATATTCCGGCGGCGAGTCTTCATCCCCGCTCTTCGCTTGCGTTCCAGTTCGCAAACCACCATCTCCCAATTGGTGAGCTGCTCCGACTCCGGCTAATGCGCTCGACGACCCATTGCGGGAGGAGCCGCCGAGACGCCGACCTTCCCCCGACGGAGACTGCCCGCGCGACTCGCTCTGGGAGTCTGCGTCGCTACCTGGACGTGTCGATGCCTCGGTGATCTCTTCGAGAACCTTGCCACCCAGGGGACGATCGGAACGACGGCGGTAGAACAAGAGGTAAGCCGACGAGGTGACCACACTCTGCGGATCAAGGGGTCGCGACACAGAAGAATCTAGGTTACGTTAGTCAGCTAGAGTCAACCAGATCGGCAGCACTTGCGGCAGCATACCATTGTATTCGTTCCATTGACCGGTCATGAAGTTCTTGGCGTAAGCCGTGTAGTGACCTCCTCCAAGTCCACCATAGTGATTGTCCACAGCGAAGAGGTCGTAGATAAGGCTCTTGCCTTCCTCCGGGGCTTCGACTCGGCCGCTCATATCGAGACCTTCCACTGGGAAGTCGACCAGAACATCAAGCTTGTCTCGGAAACCGCGGCTGGCGCTGAATCTCTTGAGATGCATGACCAGAATGTCAGGCGTCTTCCAGAGTTCGAATTTCTTGCTAGCCCGGCGATGCTCCTTGCAGCGAGGGCAGTACCAGGCGTCATTCTCGGAAAGAATCTCTTCCTTGTTAAACTCATCCAAGCACTCGTACAGAGTGACGCCTCTCTTCTTGCGTGTCTGCCGAAGTGCGCGCTTTTTGGACAGCTCCGGATCCGGGTGCCTCTCAACGTTGGTCCACGTCGGGCTACCACGGAGAGAGTCTCTGCCTATGTCGCCAGAGAACAGAGCATCGTAGGCATCCTCTGTCCAGTCGACCACGATGCCTTCGCCCGGTCGGATCATGGGAGGAGCTGGCTTAACAGGTTCAGGCGCAGGGCGTTTGACGTCGGTAAAGACGTCAGAATCGCCAGCAGCGCTGTCCGGACTCTGTTTACCCGAGCTTTCCTCATCGGATTTTTCAGTGGCTGTTTCCGAAGCAGCATCCGTCTGGCAATGCGAGTCAGTGATTTCCCAGAACTAACGAAAAGGCAATAGAATCAGTAATACATACCTCCTGCTTCTTCGGAACGGGCTTTGTCTTGATCCTGAAAGACATCCGGGGGTACTCCTTGTGGTCATCGACCGAGGAAAAGCCAAGAGGGACTACCTCGTTCGATCTGATGATCTTCATTTCAAACAAGCCACGAAGGTTCGAAGGAATGCCACCTTCACGGCGAGCTGGAGCATCTGCTTGAGTGTCTTCTGCGTCGCGCATCGAAACATCGACAATCCCGTCCTCCCCGTCGACTGAAGACGTCTTGATCTTGGAATCAGCTGATTCTGCGTCATCATCGTTCATGACAACAGTATCTGAGTCTTCCTGATTGGACTCGGTATCATGGACTTCGTCGAGGAAATCACGCGTTGTCATGGAAGCCACCTGCGCGAGAACTTTCCGGAAGATAGCATCATAGTCGCCGAGCTCCTCCCTGTTGATGACAACATAGGAAGGCACACCGAACAGGGGCCGCAGGGTGTTCTTCGGGTTGTTCGACCTTGGCTTCTCATAACGATTGAAGATAGGCACAAGCAGTCGATCCGCCCTGGGAGAATCGATATCCGGAATCGCCTCATGTTCTGACCGATTGAAAGAGAAGTAACTCTTCTGGGGTTTGTCTGGGTTGTAGTTGGTCGGAACAGACTCCACCTCATAAATGGCGATATCGTCGTTATTGCTGATCTGGCATTCGGCGATAGAGTTTGCGTTGTCAAACATCTTGTAGAACTTGTGCTTGTAGATCTCAGCCATGACCAGGCGTTGAGGATCAGATCCCATTTTCTTGGCGACCAACTCCTTAAGAGACTTGATGCTGGCGTGCTTGTCCATCTCCACATCCACAATGACCGGCTTCTTATTTAAAGGGAAGTAGAAAAGCTCCTTGCTCCAGAGATTTTCAATCGGAAGCTGAAGGGTAAGATTGTTGAACGGGTCGAAGATAATGCTGACCTTGTCACAAGCGGGACAGACGAGAGTAGACTTGTACATGCCAGCGAAAAGATCCGTGACCACGGAATCGTTGCGAGCCTTGTAGATTTCCCAGCATTTATCGGCAAACTCCTTCAATTTCGCCTTGTCGTGGACCATGTCATCCGTGGAGTCTGGCTTCTCGATATAGGGCTTCTTCTGGATTCGGTTCAGGTCTTCCTGCAGACCATCAAGAAGGAACAGAAGGAACTCCTGTGAGTCCTGCTGTCCGTAACCAGAGAATGCCGGACCATAGCGGCCGATAGTTTGTTTCAGTTGCCTAGGCGCAAAAGATGATTGGCCTGCCTCGTCGTAGATTTGGCGGAGCAGGTTGGCATAGGCCTTAGCCACATCACCATTGTGGGCCAAGGGGTTGCTAGGGTTGAGATCTTTCTTGTACACCTCATCTAAAACCCACCTGTTAGTACAGATACTTAAGATCGGACCAGCCCGGTGAGCGCGAGATACATACTCAAGAAATAGTAAGTCAGTTCCTCCACGCTACGGACACACTGCAGGGCAGAGTTCATGTAGCATGTGTTGCCAAGGTTACTCAGACCCGTATTGCCACGGGGTTTGCCATCCTTACGCCTTCCCCTGGCAGGCTCTGGGACTGGCGATGAGCGCCCACTTGTAGCAGGGCTCTTAGTCTTCGTCTTGGTAGAAACCTCGGTCTTGAGGTTCCCGGTTGGCACCCCCAGGCGGTTCAGAGTCTGCTTAGAAGCTTCGGATACCCAGTCGCCCTGTTTCCCAGGAAGTCTCTCTTCGAGTACCACGATATCACTGCCGCCCAGCCCGACAAGATCTAACGGCATGCGACCGTTGTACTTGGGGTTAGTAGTTTGATCAGTAGCGTCTTCCAGCAGCTCCCGCTGCGAGCCTTCGGAAAGGGAAAGAAAGGTGTTGAGATCAAGCACAAGACTGCCCCCAGCGTGGGGCGCAGTTGATGCGGAAGGCGCTGGCGAGGCAGTCCGAGAGGCAGCTGGAGTGACCGCAGCGGAGGTGGTGGCACTTCCAAGACCATCCAGGATTCTCCAGACGCGGACCTTGGTCGACATTTCGATTCTTGCAAGGTTCTTTACTTGCTTGAGCCATTTTTGGAAACTTGTGTGCCGACTGGCAAGATGTCGCACAGGCAGCATGTTCTTCTCCTTGAGTGACTTGGGGGTGGTTCCAGCGGACGGGTTCGTGAGCTTCAGAATCGTGAAGATCGGAGGGTTGATCTCGTATTGAATGTTCTCGCCTTCGCCCGGGGGTGCGGTGTTGTGGGCGTAGCGGACGATGGCGGGAGACTGCTCGGCAAGGCCGTACCACTGCATGATCAGGTCCCAACCTCCCTGGGGCACGATCTCATAGTCCTCTCCAAGCTGCAAGCCCGGTCGCAGGGGGACAAACGGCTCTCCATTTTCGTCCTTGAAGCCTGTGTTGGCGGGGTCAGTGACCAGGACGATATCGGAATTGTCGACCGGGCCGATCTCCCCTTCGGCAGCGGTCTTGTCCGCCTGGTCCGCATGGGTAGAGCTTCGCGCAAACACGCGCTTCAACCACGACATGGATACCACATATCCTTTCTGCTTCCTCTGCATAGGTTGCATCATGAACCGGGTCACTTGCGCCACCTGGTCATCGAAGGAAGGAGGCTCAGCGGATGCGACGGAAGCCTCCGCTTTTGAGTGGGCTCGTGTCTCGGTGGACGCCGTATAGGTGGACATGCTGGACGGAGTAGGATATACATTGTCCGAGATGGAGCTGTCCTCGTTGCCAGTTGAGTTGTCGTCTTCCGATGCAGAGGTGTCCATCGCATCCGGCTGGTCGGAGTGAGGTTGACTATCCTTCGAGGCGGGAACCTGTTCCATCACCACATCCTGTTCAGTGTCTGACGCTCCGCGAGCGTGAAGCTTTTCGTCCGAGCCCGACATATCGGTCGCGGGATCGCTGTGTAGAGTCAACCCAGCGCAGGCGGCCGAGGGGTAGTCGACGGCACTACCAGAGGGATCCGGGGTCGGGGAGGGAGGAGCGGAGGAATGAGATCTGGTTCCCAAGACTTCGTCCTGCAGGTGGGCGGGAATGTAGCGGGGAGGCGGTGAGGTCGATGAACTCTGACTGCGGTTCGAAGGGGAGGTGGGCGAGGAGCGGCGATGAGGCAAGGCCGAGGAGGAAGAGTGGGAGTTGGAGGAGCGGTCGGAGCTAGGAGGTTGACCGTGACGTCTTCCGGCCTGCGAGGCGAACGACAAACCCGGAAGTGTTCCTGGTCTGCGAGGCTCTGCTACCTTACGGCGCTTTGTGGAAGACGTCGTGACGGTGAGCTGCGCACGTCTCGTGGCAGCTCGAGGTAGCACGATAATTGGGGGAGAAGGAGTGAATGTGGGTTCGGGGTGGATTTTAAAATGGAACCTGTCGGAGAAAGATCGAAATATGTATGGTGTAGGTGGGAGGAAGGGAGGGAGGGAAGGAGGTAGGGGTGTGGTGATATGGTCGAATCCGAAGCAAGAAATTAAGTTACTTTTAGACTAGAATGGAGGGGAAGGAGAGGGTCCGTGGAGGGCAGTGGAAGCCGTGGAATTATGGTGGACGGTGGACGGTGGACGGTGGACGGTGGATGGTGGAAACGCGATGAAAGGGAAGGAAAGAAGGTGGATTCGCTGTTGAAAAGAAATTCCGGCCTCCGTTCAATCATCGGGAGGAATTTGGTTAGTCACTGACTGCGAGTACATAGTCACGGTAACTACAGAGGTAACTAATTGCATACCGTTAGAACACATGTAGAGTGTCAGACAGACACTTAAATTTGCTTAAATTTGCTTTTTCTTATTTTTAATTCACTATTTTACTTTTCTCTCTTCTCTTACGTAGAATTGCTACTAATTATATCTTTGTATGTTCCCAGCCCGGGACTGTGCATATACCTTCACCTACTCAGTACCTTGTGCAGCACTGTTCTCTCTTAGTGTTTATCTAACCTCTTAAGTGTTCACTGACTGAGAATGCCTTTACTCTAGACGCCAGTCCCCTGCACCTCTCACATCGGTCTCACTTCTAATAAAAGCTTGAACTTTTCAAGACTGAGCGGACCCTCTACAAGCGTCCAAAGGCTACAAGGCATCCCTATAGCAACAGAACCCTAGAACAAACAAACATGCACTGAACTATACAGTACCATCATAACACGATCAAAAGATCAATCACACATGGCCTGGTCGCACAGCTGTTTATCGCTCCGGACCCCGAGGCATAGACCGGTCCAATCTTACAGTCAAAACCCGCCAATCAGCTTGACGACTGCATTTAAGTCCACTGGCATGCATCATCCACCTTACTTTGTACCTTACTTACCGAGATCTCCAGATCTTGCCCAGGTTGTCATTGGCTACAGTGTCCAGCACAATCGGTAGTAGACTAGCTGGCCGGGCCTAGTACAAGATGCTAAGGCTGTCACCTCTCCTTTATCTCTTTATCTCCAGATTGTTTGCTCATCACTGGTATGAGCGGGTTGTCCATTCCAGATATCCGCATAGTTTGAGCGATTGTTACGACTGCTCCGCGAAATTATATCATGTGCCTTACATGATTGGGATCTCCTAGCGTGCAAGGCTCAGCCGGATCCGTGGCGATTCTCGAAATAACCTCCACCGATCTCATGGAGGTTACCATCAAAGTCTGCTGCCACTTCCACAGTCCTTCGTCAAATCCGGTGATCTTCGATGCAACACATTCACACCAGTTGGCAGCCATCGAGCGCTAGATTATACCGTAAGAGGGTTGCAAAGAGAAGCCCCAATGCCCGTATAACTTAGAGTCTGCTACTGCATCCTCCCCCAGCAACACCACGTATGGCCTGGATGGGGACGACGGTGGTTAGTCACCCAATGGCAGACTGCTTCCGAGGCCGGGTTGCTCTGCGGGCGATTGTAGGTTCGGTGCCGGCCATATACTATACCTATATTACAGCTCTAATAGGAGTGTTCTTGTTATCATTTCATTTCTATGAAGAAAAGCTAGAGTCTATCTCGCCAGAAGACAATCTACCAAGCCAAGCCAAGCTAAGAAGTCAAAAAAGCCAGCACCAGGCTGCCATCACACCCCCTACAACACCCAAATCCTCTATACCGGAACCGGCCAGCCATCCACATAATCCAGGACATTATAACCCAGTCGCGCTTCCTATCCACAAACCATCAAGTTAGCTATAAATTCCCTAGCACAACAGACACCAAATCACAGAAAGAGAGGGAAAAAAAAACATACATGAAACTCATACCCCACCGAGGTATTCACTACCACCCACAAAGAAAAGTCAGCATCAAGCCCCAGCAAATCCATGGGAAAAGAATCAGAGCAACTCACGATAATGATAATAAAGCACATCCTCCTCCACCTCCACACCGAGAACATCATCGTATCGACGATGAACCAGGACCCCCTGGCCCCCAGGCGCATACACCTCCCCATTCGACCCATACGCAACCTCCCCGCCGCCCTCCACCAGGTCCCGGCCTTGCTTATCCACGAATGGGCCGCGGGGACTCCTCGAGCGGCCGACCCGGATACTATACCTACATTGCGCGGCAGATTAGCACAGCTTTTATACGTATACGCAAGTGTGCGAGAGTCTATCCCATCACAGCTCCAAGCAAGAGCAAGGGAAAAAAAGGGAAAAGGGCACACATACTCCATCCCCTTCCTCGGCAACCGCTCCGGCTTAAACCCACAGCACTTGCCCCAACTAAACCACAGATAATACCACGGCGCGCGGTAGGAGATAAACGGGCCCTCGACGGGATGCATCCCCGTGGGGTCGCCGCAGATCCCATTGGACTTGGGGATAGGCGGGTGCACCGCCCGCGGCTCGTGGGCGAGGTGCCGCACCTCGCGGTTGCCCGTGTAGTCACTCCCCAGAAGGTCGGGGGTGAGCGGAATCTGCCAGATCCCTGTCCAGAAGGAGCCGAAGGTCAGGTAGCCTTTTTTCTCCGTTGGCTTGGGGCTAGAGGGAGAGGTTGAGAGGGGGTTGGGGTCTTCTCCCTTTCCCTCGCCTTCGGTCTGGGGGATTTCTTCTCGGGAGAATAAGAGGCGGGGATGCGTTTTGTCTCCCACATCTTCTTCTTTTTGGGGTTCCTTCTCTTCCGGTGGGAGAGAAGTGATTATAACACTCACGTCGATCGCATTCGCGCGATCCATCGGGTACAACCCCGACCCTGTTCCTACGCCGGACCGGATGATGACTCCGTGATCCACCCATCCCCGGGGTCCCGGGTCCGACGAGGTAGCTACCCCGATTGCACTGCGGCGGCAGCCGCTGTGGCTTGTCGCGTAGTAGCAGTAGTACGTGCCATTGTGGGCGACGACCGTGGGCGCCCAGGGCGCTTTTCGGTCGCCGATGGGGAGGACGCTGTCTGTGGTTAGGACGGTGCCGATCTTGGTCCAGGGGCCGGAGAGGGCCGGCGCGGTGTGAATGGGGATGTGCGGGCCGGAGCCGTAGGCATAGTATGTCTTCACGGGACGTGCTGTGCGGGTTTGGTGGGCTGCGTTTGGCTTGGGGTTGGAGTTTTGATCTGGCTGGGGTTCGGGGTGAGAATAAGTGATAATGATGCTGGGGTCGTGGATGTGGAGTTCTGTTGGGTTGGTCGGGGGATAGACCGGGGATACTGGGTCGTCATGGGCTTTATTAGCTTTGTCGTCGTCGTTCGCGGTGTCGGTAGAGTCTGAAAGTGAGCTGGGTGGTTGTGCACGGAAGTGGTTGCGTAGGATGTATAGCACGAAGAAGAAAAGCGACAACAGAGCGGAGACGCGGATGAGGCGACGGAGTGAGTGGCGCGAAAGTAATGGTGGTGATGCTTTCCCGCTGCTTTCTTCGTCGAATTCCGAGTACGTCGAGCCCATGCTCAATAGGCGAGGTCTGGTGGGTGCGGTAGCGTTCATCCTGTCGAGCGCGACTGAGAGAACTGAGCTCGCAGGATGGCTAACAGCACATTGTGTTCATCGATTTTGGTGGCCAATGCTGGGTTGGTGGGTGCAGATCAGGACCGCAGGGTCTGGATCTTAGTAAGTGGTGCAGTGGTGCAGTTATCAGCTTCTGCTGCTGCTGCTGCTGCGTATATGTGGATGCGACCCTGAAAATCGCCGGTGAATGGTGTAACAAGTAGATTTAGATTGTCGTTATCATTATAGCTTGCTTAGTGAAGACAAGTCAATGCTAAGCATTAGAAATCCTCCTACAGGAGAGCAGCATCTGCCGTCATGGTCAGTGATTCAGTCGCCATTGGTTATCAAGACCAATTTCTGCACGCCCCAAATGGATTGGATCTCTATTCTCCGACCCGCCCTGCCAAGGCTAACTTCAATAGGCGCAGTACATCAGGAATTATGGTGCTACATCGAGGTCAACGAGGACTTTAAAGGAACAATCTATCAGGGCGGAGAAATAAATTAATTGCCGAAGCGGTGGAGCCGAAAACCACTCCTCCTCACATGCAAGAAAGACATCACAGATCTGCAGTCAAGACATCAACGCAGTCAATCGCACATGTTAATAATTGCAGTGCGATCCATCAGTATCCCGAATGGCGTAGCTCCCAGCATTTCTAAAACATAAACACCAACGCCCAGCGCTTTCCTTTCTCAACTCTGCGCCAAACCGCAGACCACGACAACCATTAACGACTACTTACTACCGTGCTTCGATTTTCTCCACCTCGTCCTTGGCCTCCGTCCAAGTCTCCAAGTTCTTGCGCGCCCAGTCTAAGTGACACCGCGCATACGCGACCTGTCACGATCCTCGTCAGCATGATTCAAACCTAGTTCAGGCGAGAAGAGCCCTACCATATAGCGGCGGAGGTCCATCTCCTTATCTTTCTGGAAGCGTTTCAAGTCTTGCAGTACTCCGGCACTTGCATCTTTCACGTCTTTTTCGGACACCGTCAAAGCTTGTTCCAGCTATCGCGTCATCAGTCACGGTTCTTTCAAACACCTAGTCAGGCTCCCTTACCTGTTGCAAGCTTTCTTTCGTTTTTCCAATCTGATCTCGGCGAGTCCTCTCTGGATCAACATCCACAAATCCATGCACCGCATGACTGATACGTCCAAAAATCTTGTTGGCCACAAACGTTCCACTAGATGTCTTGCGGTGTGCGGGGGGCGAGGACGGGCCAAAGTCTGGACGGCGGTGAGAGGCGGCTTGAGGGGCGGAGGGATGGGAGCTGATAGACTCGCCATGTGTAGGGGGGAAGTCTGAGTCCACCGAAGCATTGTCCTCGTGGCTGCCAGGACGTCCTTCGCTCTCGGGCCCGCCCGGAGCACTGGCGGCTGACGAGACCGACAGCGATCGTTGCGGTCTCGTGGTTGCGCCTTGAGGAGATGAGCGGTTCAAGTACTGCTCGATTCGTTGAGCTTCCATTTCACTGCGCTCAAGTGACTCGAGCAATGTTCTCTTCTTCGCCAATTCGTCTCGAGTCATCTCTTCTTGCACCCTCTTAAGAACGCGGTAACGTAGAACGCTGCGCACCACGCTGGCAAACTGCGCGCTTTCCCGCATGGGCTCTGCAAAGCTTGCACTCAAGGCGGCGGAAAGCTCCTCGGTCTCAATATAAGACGTATCGGCCGCCTGGCCGACCCGTTCGATAGCAGCTGCGACGGTCGGGGATTGCTCTGACAAGGAGAAACCGTTGTACCGTGCCCCCAGCTCCATCAGGTCCGCCGATAAGGACGACAAATGAGCGAGCGTCCGGCGGTTGACCTTCTCAATGTTGCCTTGAAGGAGCAGTTCTAGCTCACGGGTGGAGGCTTCGAAATTGATGAAGTAAGGATCCAGCTCTTTCTCGCTCAATTTCCGCGACTCCGGTGGGAAACGGCCGAGCACATCTTGACTGGGGGCATCGTTCGGGGTGCCGGACGGCGCAGTCCCGGACGCCGACTTGAGCTTCGCCGAGGCCGAGGGCACCGGGAGCCAAGCATGAGCGGGTGTTGGGTTGGCGGGATCGAGGGGAGGAGCTTTGAGGTTGTTCTTGGGGACAGAAGATGCGGGGTGGGAATGGAGGACTTCGCTCTGAGCAGTTATCAGTACCTATTGGGCGGGCGTGCACTAGCGGCTGGCGCAACCTACCCAGCTGACATTGGGATCCAGGAACCTCCACCAGACTCCGTCTTCTCGAATTTCCTTCATCCGACGACACCGGTTCAGAAACACGGCCAGCATTCGTTTCCGAAGGTCGATGATCGCCGTGTCTTCCTTGGCCTTGGTGGGCTTGGCGGCGTAGTCCGCCATGGTGTGTTTCTCCGGAATGGGCGGAACGACCAGCGTAGGATGAAGATTGACAAGGGTTTGGCGCAGCGAGGCGAACTCCGAGTATCGTCTCCGGACTTCAAGGTCCTGCATGCCGTTAGCATCATTTCCAGTACTGAGCTACCGCATTTGCCATACTCCTGTACGTATCGTATAGACGATGAAGCTGCCGCCGCCCTCGTGGTTCTTTCCGGCGTCGGTTATGAGGATTGGCATGTCGGGGTTCTCGTATAAGATCTGCTCTATCCGGCTGTCGTAGACGCTCTTGCGCATGTATCCCTGGCCGGTGTGTTGGTTCGTGTACGCTCCGTGGTCATCTTCGTCGCTCAAATCTTGTTGTTGCGACAGGAAGTCGGGAGGGTCTTGGGTGGACGATCGGCTGGAGGGAGAGGGCGGGGTGTATTCGCGATCGTAGAGAGCTTAAGGCACGTTAGCGACGAGCGTGGCTATAAAGTGCAGAGCGTAGGATTCATACGAGGAGAGAGATTGGCCGAGTGCAAAGATTCCGACAGATGCGCCTCAGTGTCGAATGCGCCGTACGGGTTGTTATCCTCGTCGTTCCACATGGTGTTCCGGTGGGGGAGTGGCTGGTCAGAGCAGCCTTGCTAGTTCTCAGCGGACAGACAGGGGGATGAGGGTCATGGAATGCTAGTTGAGTTATGTGAGACAATCGGATGATTCAAGCCAGGTACGGAATAAATTGAAGGATACGAGCGACTATTGAATGGTGGAACAAACAAGCGAGAGAGCAAGAGAGAGAGAGGGGGGGAAGGAGAACACTGGATGGAGTCGGCGGCAGGAAAGTCACCGCCTGGAGATGCAATTCGCGGGGATCAACGTCACCGACTCGGGCCGTCCGCAGAGACCATCGCCGTCGTCGCTTACTATTTCGAGCATCACTGCTACTACTCAGTTACTACATTACAAGAACGGATGCATCCCTCCCTCCGAGATCTCATCCAGCCATCATCCCCAATGTTACCACTTTACCAACTGACTTCTCCCGCGGGCCGACCCTCGTCAGCTGGGTTGTTGTTTGGATATGATTCCCATTCACCACCATCAGCTCCATGATCAGGCTTATTCGAACCAACGCTGCTCGCTGCTCTCGAGTTCTTATGCCCGCTCGCGCGACCACCAAACATGTCATGTAAGGACTGAGCCAGCGCCGGTCCCTGATCCGGATGCCAGCTCTTAGGTGTTGACGCCTGAGGGGATGGGTGAGCCGGAGCAGGATCAGGATCAGGGGCGTTACCCCACGAATGGCGAGCATCGTTATCGTGATTGTCATTCGCAGGAGGACCCCACTCATTATTGTTATTCTGGGTCTCGACTCTGCCATGGTTGTTGGCATGCGAGTCCCACTGGTGATCGTTCCTGTGGGTCTCCGCTCTGTGGTCCATGTTGAGCTCGCGATCGTGCCGGGGGGGTTTCTTCTGCGTAGCTGTATGCTGGGACTTCGTTAGAGCCGGGCCAGGAGGATTCGTACGACGGGAATTGCCCGGCTCCCTGACGCGGACTTCCACCCAGCGTCTCCCGTTGGCCCTGGCGTTGGAGTGGGTGAGGGTGACGAGCTCGCGTGCGCCCTCGCGGCGTCGCACGGATCGGCCATGGAGCTGCTTGGACCACCACACGCTGAACAGGTAGGCGCCGATGATGATGGAGAGTAAGAGGGAGAGGAGTATGGCGATGATCACCACGTTGCCGTTCATCTTGGCTTTCACGTGTGGACGGACGGCCTGCTTCAAGTCTCAGTCATATTGAGGGCCATAACAATTTTCATGCTTTCACGTACCGCTACAGAGGCTATGTCAAGCGTAGGTGGGCTGTTCAGGAAAGTCTGAGAACATATGGGCTTTTGCTAGTTGTAGAAAGAGGACGTAAACATTGGCTGATATGCCCATTGCCATGGCAGTGAGCTGAAAACCAGTTGTGGTAAATTCTGTGCTGAGTTGTGTTCTATCATGGTGGAACGTTCAGTTTGCGTACAAGTGAATCATTACTATCCAGACACCCTCCCCCGCCACACTTTTATTTATACCTCTTAATAACATCATGCGTTCATGAAGATTCCAATGCCGCCTGAATACGTGAAATCCAATCATCGTGTATCAAGGATGTCTTTCCGTGTGCAAGCAAAGCTTGAAGCTTCTCCTTCATTTCGGCCACGCGCTCCTGTCCCAAGAGTCGGGAGGCAGCAGACTCCTTGCAGACTGCTACGGTCGCCAGGCTGAAAAGTCGCACTCCCAAAGTGAATGTTTCAGGCTTCGAGGCCCAGCCCAACAGCCCGTCCTTCTCGGCAGTGTCCATAAAGACATCTCCCAAGCAGGACAAACCATTCGATACCCAGGCGAAGATTGCCTGGATGGAGGCATCATCATATGATGCTTCCGTCAACCGGATCATTTGCTTGGTCCACACATCGACTTCACGAACGTCATCGATGAACAGATTCTGCTTCTCTTCCTCGAACAAAATTGTGCTTTCCTTGCGGAGGTCAGAAAGAACGGTGGAAACAGGCACAGACTGAGCGATGGAAGTGCTGATCCGTGGTTCGGAGCCAGTCATATAGGCAACAGCTCTCTTGCGAAGCTGCTGCGAGTTGTGGTAGCTTTGAGCGATGAACGCGGAAAGAAGCTCGCTGGCGTTTGTAGGAGACAAGGCGACTGCCTTGGACGGGGATACTGAGGAGTAAGACAGCACCCATGAGGCAGTCGGAGCGGCAAGGTCACGCAGCTCCTCGTCGTCATCGTTCAACATGTCGTAGAGGACCAGGTAAATATCCAAAAACGCCTTATCAGTGAGTGGGGCCTTTCCAGCAGGACGCAGAATACGGCCAAATGCTGAGACGGATAATACTGCAGCGAGACGGGTGGTAAATTCCTGTGATTTGTTAGCACATACGATCCAGACATAATAAACAGTCAGGTGCGTACCGTTTCTTCTCGCATAGCGAAGCGAAGACGAGTGGCCCACTCATTGATGTCGTTCTCAGAACTCTGGTTATTGGAAGCAATAACCTTGGCAGCGAGGAGACTGCCGTGAAGTTGTAATTCGGCGTCAGACCTATCCCGGTTCCAGATGTGCTGGCTTGAGCCATGCTTAAGTTGGCCTTCTAGTGCTCCCCATGGAAGATCGATCTGAGGGAGAGCCTCATTGCGGCAGTCGAAGAGAACTTGCAACTTCGATGCCAAGGACGCAATGGCTACTGCCTTGACTTCCTCAGGATAGTCTCCCAAAATGACAGAGGAGTACAGGCCGATCAACGTTTTTCCATACTGCTCTCTAGGCCCGAATATTTCCTGCAGCCTTTCCAACAACCACTGACCAGCATTGGGGTCGAAATTCGAGACAGTACGAACGAAAGGCTCAAGATCGTTGACCCTTCCTCCAATGAGCATATGCAAGACGGTGACCCACGAGATCGCCCGACGGAGGAGCGACGAGGCTCGGGTCGTGCTCAGTGACTTCCAGGATGGATGAGATGTGTCGAATACGAAACCCAAGATGTCTTCAAAGGCATATTCAGTGGTCAGAGACTCAAAGGTAGAAACCAAGCGGACTAGTGAAAAAGAAATTAGCAATGCTTTACATTTCACGTCGGGAACCTCCTTACGCTCAGAGCCCGAGTCGATACTCTTTTCAACCACGTCACTCAAAATCTCCAGAAGCGTGGTCGCGATGAATGGAGATTCTGCGAGCTGAAATGATGCGGCGAAAGTCTCCCGTACTAGAGAGCCCACGTGGTCGATGTTTTCTGCGCATTGTCAGCAGAAAGCGCATAAGCATACACAAAGGGTCATACCGTTCCAAAAGGCAACTGAACTGGCCGCGAACCGGCGGAGAGAGTACTTGATGCACAATGCTTCGCCATGAAGGTAATCCTGCGTTGTGCTATCTCTCTCGACGCCGATTAAGGTCTTGATATTGGTCAGAATGTCCACACGCTTCAACAATGATGCGTAGACTCGAGCCGCGTGCTCTCTGATACCCCAAACAGGACTCTTGAGTTGTTCGCGGACAAGACCACGCAAAACCTCGTCATCGGTACCAGTCACATTGGGGACCTTCTCAGCGATCAACTCCAAGGCTGGGAAGACACGCTCAGTGACCATTGCAGTGTCGCTGGAGTTGGTCTTTTCGGATGGAGTGAGAAGGGTGGGAAGAAGCTCGAGAAGGCCAGGGTACTTCTGGAACGAAACTCTAGCTCCGGGCTCAGAGCCGGATTCACCACCAAAACCCAGGCCGGTGCCGGTGCGGCACATGCGTGTCAACAAAGCGCGGAACAGCATGAGACCAGAGTTGCGGAGGGCCCATCTACCAAGGTCAGAGTCTTCTGAGCTAGGGAGGTAAAAGGAATACTCACATAGGAGAACCAAGACGCTCGGCCGACAGACGTAGGGCAGGCATGATGAAGGGCTCTGTATGGGGGCCAAGCTTGGTATTCGTGAAAATGTCCTTAAGGCAGTTCATCGCATGAACCTGGGGCAAAGGTGTGTCTTGTCTAGTCTTGTCCTGTTCTGCCGGCAGATGGGAAATTTCATGAAGCTCTTGTATAACCTGCTGAAACAGTGGCCCACCAGGCTTCGACGAAAGAATTCCGACAACCAGTGCGGGAAGACCAGCCGAACGGCGGGTGAGCTTAGACGCCGATTCAAAGATGGTTTTCTTGGCTTCCTACAGAGTATGTGAGCATCCGCCAAGTCAAGTAACCTGAAGACCAGATTCTTACCTGATAGAATCGGTGGGGAAGCCCGGAAATCGCTGGATCGCTCGACTGCGCACAGCGCTGGCAACAAGTAGCAAACGTCTGCGATACCGTTGAAAATGCACCTCTATGCCGAAGCTCAGCGAGCTGAATGAAGCTAAGAGTCCCCAGCTTATCAAAATGTTGCTCCGTGAGCCCATGGTCACCTGGAGGGCTATACGAGTTGTTGGAAAGAGTCGCGTGGAGAAGAAGACTGTATGGGTCAGCAATGTGTCTTGGGTCATCAAAGAATCCCATACCTCGATTCTCGCAGAGCGCGCCAAGAATAAGAGAGGATGTCCTTGGGGCCGACGCCTAAATCCTCGATCGGGTCGTCTGTATGACCTTCTGGAGAGTCGATGCACAGGACAGGTCGAACCTCTTCCCATATCCGGTCACAGACGTGCACGATTCTAAGGTGGAATGCCCTCCATTTATCATAGTTCGTGGACTTCTCGGACACCAAGGAATAGAAATCGGAGGTTGAGGCAATATATCTGGATAGCGGATTAGCAGGAACTAATCGAATCAGGCAGAAAGAAGGTACCTGAGCGCAGAGATATAGCCGTGCAGAGGTGCATCACGCATTGAAGAGTTGAACAGACCGCCTGCGGAGGAAAGCTTCTGCTCCAGCTTTGCTAGGAGATACTCGACAACCGTTGATTTAGCTTCCCACCACGATGTGGAAGTGTTCAAGCTCTCAGACGCTGCAGCACAGAAGAGTATGTGGTAAAGGCGAGCAACTGTATCGGCGTAATCAGCTCTGCTAGTGTTACTTGCCAGCAGCTCCGCCTTTGACAATCCATCAATGATTTGAGGTTGCCCTGTCAGTGGCTCGCCCTGTGGCTGCGAATCACTGCTGAAAAGAACCTTACGGGGAAAAAGGTTCAAGAGGTACAGAGAGGTCGCGCGCACTTCCTCGAATGGGTCAAGCAACAAATCAACCAGTAGCCTGAGCAAGGTGGAACTGAAGATGTCCATGTTGCAGATCCAACGAGTCTTGTTATTATCTGTGGCGCTGTACCGGCTATCAAGTCCAGATTCGATGAAGAAGATAAATGTTTTCAGCGCAGCAATGTGGCGTGGATAAGAGGCCGTAGGTCGCAAGTCAGCTTTGAGAAAGTTGAAGTACTCATTCAAGCATTTCCCAGTGACGGAGGCATCGAAGAAGTTCATCTGAGCGTCCTTGTTTGCAGTGGCCTTCTCACTCTTCAAGCGATCTTGGTCCTCTAGGATTCCACCTTTCAGACGGACGACCAGCTTACGGACTAAGCTCAATACCTCTCCTCTCGAATAAGATTCTGATTCACAATGCAGAGAGGGCAATCCATTCAAAATGGCTTTCATTGTAGCGGATGAGACGGCTTTGGTCGAGGAAGGTGCACTGATCAACAAGGATAGGGTTGCAATCCTGATAGTCATATCGTGGTGGAAGAGAAATTGTCCGATCACCTCACTCTTCAACACGAGCGCACGGTCGGCGTCAGCAGCCGTAGAGCTGGGTTTACCGATATAGTCTAGTCGCAACATGAGCAGGGGCAGTAGACATGGCAGGGTCTTAGACTTACGATCTTCGTGAACGAGTCCAATCTTCTTTGCTACCTGTAAAGAAGCGAACAAGACCATGAATTCAGCTATGGGCGCATCGCTCATGTCACCCGCTAGCAGACTTTGGAGAGGGAACTTCTCAATGAAAGTCCGGAAACCGATTGCATCCACCTCAAAGCAAGGCTGAAGAATGTAGTTCGACATATACTCCAGGTCATCGAGGGTTCTCAGTGTGACGTGACGGACAGGTGCCACCCAGAGCGACAGCAGGTGACCGAGTTCAAATGTAGCCTTGATCTTCTGAAGAAAAGCAGCCATCAGATCCCCGGATGAGGCCGCAAGCTCCGGTTTGGTTGCGCGTGCCAACAGACCCAGAACAAAGATCTCGACTGTCGTCCGCGAGGTATTGTGTGATGAGACACCATTCATAGAGGCACTGTGGCTATAGGGGGAGACATCAATCAATAGGGCGTCGCAGTCTGCCTGATACATAGGGGCCCAGCTCTCATAATTTGCGTGTAGCCACTGGTCGAGGAGCGAAATCAGCTCCGTAGGCGCAATCGCATTCTTGCGGACAATCATCTCAAGGGAAGCGAAGGAAGCTTTGAGGCGAGCACGAGGTTCACCAAGCAGGATACTGGGAATCGTGAGCTCGATAATCTTCTTTTGAAGGGAGCTCCTATCAAATTGCTTGCGAGTCTTCGCCAGGAGCAGAACCAAGGACTCCATAACCTGCTTCATTGGCTTGGGCTTGGCATCCTTGTATCGAGTCATGAAGACATCGAAGACAGACAACCAGGTCTCGTCAGAATGGACGATTTGCCTTGTGGACTCATGCTTAGAAACAAGAGCTGCATCTAGAAAGGCGCTGAGCGCATTACAAGCTGCCGTGGTATGGGAATGCGACAGAGAAGCGGTTGCATAAGTGTCTAGTAGATTATGATAGACCCGGTTCACTTTCCTTTTGAGGATGTTAGGAGATTATCACACAAAGATAGACAACGCTCTTGAACCAAGAAAGAACACAATGAACGCAATGGTGGATGAGATGAACAGAGGTCTTACTCGGAGTCATCACATGCCCGGGTGAAATTCACTAAGGCACCCTTGCCGATTTGCTTGAGGGTCTCTTCCGGCAAGATTTGCATATGCTGTGCGATGGGCTCCATCTCTATGAATGCCGCCTCCATTCGGGCCGCAGAATTGGGTTTCCCTTCCATGAGCTGTGTCTTACAGAGATCGCATGTCCAGGCAATTGCGACGACGACTCCGACAAAAAACGAAATCCAGTCCAATTAAAGATCTTTTATCAATCCCCGCGTTCCTGAGCGAATGACTTTTTGCCTCTTGGTGGATTTTCGAGAGCGGGTCTCCCAAAGAGGCCTAGCGTCGGGAGAACCATATTCCTTTTGCCGCCGCGCATCGCCGGAGGAAGGCGGTGGAAGGCGGTTGAAAGGTTGGTTAGCAGAATTCCGTCACGCCGAGTCACGGGGCTGAAGTTTTTGTTCTCCGAGAAGAGACCTTAACAAACCCGCAAGTTCCATTTGAACTGTCAGAAGCTCAGTCCAAGTTCTTCCTCTTCCTCGCGACAAGACCTCCCCCTCCTCAGCAAAGCGCCTGCTGGCCACAGATCCCCGTTTCCTTTTCCTTCCTCTTTCCTCCTTTACTTCATTCTCTGTATTCTTTATAATATATCCCATCCCTCCCCAAACATGTCTATCTGGGATTCGCTCAGTGGTCGCAAACAGGACAAGGGTCCCGGCGCCTTCGATCCTACCAGCGCGCAAGATGCCACTTCTTTCCTCTCCGAAATCGCCATTCCCGATCCTACTCAGCTTCATCCCCTTGCTGGCTTGAACCAAGATACCCTCGACTACATCTCCCTCGAAGACTCCGCCCTCGACCAGCTCCCCGGTGACCGTTCGGTGCTGCCCTCCCGCGGATGGTCGGACGATCTCTGTTACGGAACCGGAACTACTTATCTTGCTGGATTGACAATCGGAGGTGCATGGGGTTTGGCTGAGGGCCTCAAGAAGACGCCGGTATCGGCACCCCCGAAGATCCGCCTCAACGGTGTCCTGAACTCGATCACGAGAAGAGGTCCCTTCCTCGGTAACTCCGCCGGTGTGGTGGCCATGGTATACAACGGCTTCAACTCAGGTCTGGGATACGCACGTGGCAAGCACGACGCGGCCAACAGCATTGTCGCTGGTGCTCTGAGTGGAATGGTCTTCAAGAGTACCCGGGGCCTGAAGCCCATGCTGATCTCCGGCGGCATCGTCGCGGGTATCGCGGGATCTTGGGCTGTACGTGTCAATCGTCCTAGTTTCGCTGTTTTGCTCACAATCGCTAACGGTTTCTCTCATAGGTGGCGCGCAAGGCATTCCTGTAGATGTCTCTAAATCAGTCGATTCAGTTGTATTTTAGCACTCGAACTCGAGACGACGACCTTGATCCGATCATGCGTTCGAGAACCCATATGATGTGTATGGCCTGTTTCACCAAAGCGGGAGAGGTTGATTTGTTGCTTCACTTCGACATGTTCACGTTGTATTAGAACGGTTTCTTTTCTTATCTTTTCTTTTTCCTTCGCCCCCAATTCTCTCGTCTTACAGATCTCTTCCCTCTGGCGCACAAAGCATCTTATTCGCATTCTCCATGGTTTTGGACCGGCATGGAAATGGATTTTTGTTTCGTTAACTCTCTGTACATATAACGGACTCCTGGGTTTGTGGTTCTTGCGGGCGAAACTGTTGCAGGTTTCATTTTCGTCATCTCAAGCAACCTTAATGTTAGTTCACACAATAAAAAGCATGGGACTAATAGCGACTTCAGATCAGGTTCTGCGCTTACGAGTTCAAGTTGGAAGTAGGATTGTCTTTTTGGGGAGTCGCATAGCAGTGACAGTCGCTACGCTCTAGGGTCGCATGAGGTGCAAACCGAGCATTGCATTGGGATACTTGTAGTTTGCCTGCACTACCGGACTGCGGCATATCCGAGCTCGTCCTGTCGACGGATGCCTCAGGCTACATGACGGAAAGCGGGCGTGGGAACCAACAGCCTCAAATTAACTTGTGCTTCCAACCACAGTCGCCTGTGACACGCTACAGTCATTGTCACGGCTTCTAAGATCTCAGAGAATTGAGCAGAATCTTGACATGCCTTCACTCTGCGCATACCAGAGTGGATTCCAACGCCGAGACCATTCAAAAGACGATATCTACACCAATTGCACGTCATCTTGGAACTCAAAACGGGGAGATTTATGGCTTGTGCTGGTATTTCTTCGTATCTCAAACTGCGGCTCTTCGTCACTTGGACATTGTGGCTTAAAGTCCGGTGATGACAGCGAGGTTGAGCTTCTAGTTGTTTACGATACCTCGACCACTGTAGCTTTTCTGTGCTTTGATACATCCTTCTGTGATCCACACCACCCTTAGAGCTGAACTATCTATTAGAGCTGTTGTAGTCCTACCTATGACCTCTTGAAAGATAAAGTGAAGATGTAATAACTTGAGTATATATCAAACTACCTTCGATATGCTTCTGAAGCTAGCGTTGCTGGTATGTATACTTGCATCTTGAAATAGGCTTCTTGCCCCTCCAAGAAAGATACCTAACATTACTATCAGTATAGGACTGATTTCGAATGCTTCTGCTCAGAGCGCTTCTATAGATGAATACATCTTGTTATCAACACTATATTGTCATCAAGTATAAAGGTTGTTATGTAGCGACGCCGTATCACTTCTAGACGGCCGACTTGAATAACAACTTGTTGTACCTCAAAAGTGACTTTTGTCAACGTCGAGTTCAAGACGCTAAAGTCTTTTATGTCAAGGCCAGATGTACAGACCTTGAAGAAGCGTGCCTCTTTCAAGTCACAGCTCAGCCTACTCAAGCATAGCCTTATTTAGTTTGTTGAGGGCGATATGACCTGCCCAGATGTTAGAGACTAAGAGATGAGAAGAAAACTGTTAAAGGGAGAAGATGGGCTTGGTCTGGATAGTATTTGAGGACGTGAGACAAGGGTAAGTAAAGAAGAACAGAAGGTTATAGTGTCGAGGTGGAGGCATGCGAAATGGACACGCTACTGAGCCTCGGCAGTTCATTCACACAGGTTATATATTTTACCCAATACGAAAGTTTCCCTTTTCGACTCCATGACTTGCACTCGCTGGATGTATAGCTGCTAGACCAGAACTCACAATCCTAGACAGCATCTAGAAGTATAATTCACCATGTAGGATTCACCCATGCTAGTGGATATATGAGACCAAATCGGACTGACCTTTCTTCGGCTGCGCAGACTTGCTTTTTGGGTCAATGCGACTCTCGGGTGGAACCTCCCTTCCTTATGTCTATACCTGGATTCAATTGAGAACATCGAAGCAAAAGTCTCCAGCGCTGGCTTATAGTAGTCTGCAAAGTATAGGCCTCATGTTCATAATACCCATATAGTAAGGCGAGCTATCCGATGCGTGCCGCACGGTGGCGTTTGCTAGCCGCGGAAGCGTCCGTTCGGCTGTCCCGGTCGTCAGTAGTAAAGCTGACAACATCGCCTCAGAACAGAAGCAAATGAACACAGACATAGTCTGTCCGATGTGATTGCAAATGATTAGGCTGATTTAGCAGGAGCTTGGCATTCTGTAAATAGGGAACGGTAGGTCCTGTAAAGCGTCGACCTGGTTCGATCTGATAAATGTCCAAGGCTTGGCATGGGGGCTTGAGAGGAGTTACTCTTTTGGGAAACTCCACAGGCTGCCCCCGGAAGCCGAAGTCAGGGTCCACGATGGCTGTGTTTCGGCCTGTTTTCTCCGCTGCTCGTGTCAACAGGCAGCAATTGGCGCTTCCGTAACAGACTTGGTTGAAGGAATCACCAATTGCTTCTTCTGGTGATCAATTCGAGGTATGTCTTAGCCAAGCCTCCAGTGAAAACTCTATGCCAAGCTGTTGTGTGCCACTTGTGCCTATATTTGGTATGGTGGATAAGGAACTGATACGAAGAATCAGTCCAGTTCCTCCCTGGAAATCGCAGAACAGGCATCTGGTTTGTTTGGACATGGCGAAGGTCCACTTTCAAGAAGAATAGGGTTGCCTGAATGAATAAGGCCATGGACGGGCTTTCAAGCCATAACGAACTGCGGGCGCCTGGCTGTGGTGACAGTCACATCATGATCCGATGGACATGGACGCCTCATTACTGAATGTGCAAGCCATATGGAGGTAGATGTTTCAACCGGCCATTGCCTACATCTAGAGACTTTAGGCTTCTCAATCGATCAATATCAACCAAGGCTGTCAGTGTAACGTACATTCCCCCAGCGTTGGTCGATCGGCAGCATTCAAGATGCCCTAAGTGGGCCGCCCTTGGCCGTGGAGCCTGTGAGGCTATGAGGCCACTACTCCGCACCTTGGACCCTGATCCATCCTCGCAGTACTCCTGGTGCCGGATGGCGCTTGACCCCGTCCCAATCCTTCATTTGCTGGACCATGAACTGGAAACCCCTGTTATAAGACCAGCCATGGCAGTCGCTCGAAGGGTTTCCCCATCTCACCACGATGGGTCTTATAAGACTTACAAGTTTGCTCTTCACATATGTGTCTTCGCGCCGATTGACGTTCCTCGCCTTAGCCATTGCGGCCTGGCTCCTTTGTTCTCGCCTTCCCGGTCTTGACCTCTATGCGAACCAACAAGTGGTCAGGGATCACGGTCGAGGCGAAAATGGGAGTCGATTCCTATATGTTTCACCCTTTCGACGCAATCCGGACCTGGAGTATGAGAGACAGCTCGCCAACGCTCTGCAGGAGCTAGAACACACGGTGCTAGATCAGGAGGGAGGAAACATTGTGGCGGAAGACAGGATATGGCAGATAGCCAAGGACGAAAGCCAACGAGGACCGGATTCGGCTTATCTTCAGGAGAGAAATCCTGGCTGGGGGTACACTGTAAGTACTCCGTCAAGCCTCACGTTCATATGTATTGTATCCAGCTAAAGTTATGCCTCTCAGTTGATGAGCGATGCGAAGGCATCCAAATTTGTCGCCGAAAAGTTCTCCGCTGTCCCCGAAATTGCCCAGATCTACGAGTCGTATCCCTATCACGTCCTCCGAGCCGACCTTCTCCGCTACCTTCTCCTCTATTATTACGGGGGCTTCTATGCCGACATGGACATCTACCCAGCGCGACCCATCAACGAATGTCCAGCTCTACAATCGATACCCAAACCTTCAAGGGATGCCTCAATAAACTCAGTCAACGTGTCGCTTGTGGTAGGAGTTGAACTGGACGAGCCCTATGCCTCCCCGCAAACCATGCGCTATTGGCGCTGGACTCGAAGCTACGGACTGATCCAGTATACGATGTACGCCCCGCGCCGATTCAGCCCTCTGCTCCGAGAGATCATCGTTCGATGCTTGTCGCACACCCGGCAATACTACCGCCAGCACAGTGGACTTCTTAACAGATTCAGCTATGACAAGAACGCCATTCTGGGGATCACGGGCCCGGATGTTCTCACAGACGCGATTCTCGACGCCCTCTCCTCATCGCTCCCCGGCTCCCATCCGTTGGTCCAGAAGTCTGTGGGCATGGATCAGAATACCGGCGATTTGGTAGCCCCTGCTGGCAAGATGGAGAGAAGAGTCACCTGGGCGCCCTTCCATGATCTTCATGAGCCTCTGTGCGTTGATGCCAGCGAGGCCGTCCCCGAGACGCCTATGGGAGGGCTTTGCGTGGTGCCGATCAGTGTGTGGGGGAACGGGCAGCGACACAGCAAGGCCGAGGGTTTCAACAGTCCACATGCTTGTCTGAACCATCGGTTCGGAGGGTCTTGGAAGAAGGGTTGGCGCGAACGGTTGTTCGGATGATAGAACGACCCAAACACAGGCTTGATCCAACAGCGCTCATGATGAAAATGTATTAAGAATCAACAATGAACAAAATCTTCCTGCGTATCCAACAACTTGAGCAGCGAGTAATCGACATAATTCGCATCATGCTACCCACAAGCCCATAGGCTTTTTATTTTTGTTCAAGCCAGCGGTGTATTTACCCGCAGACACCTGCTCATACATCGTCACTTCCTTGAACCTAGATCCAGCAAGACCATTGTAGATGAGGACTTTCATGTGCTCGGGATTATTCCATGGGGAACTGGGGACCGTACCCAGGCGGCTGTCGAGCCTCGGTGTTGATGACCGCGTTGCCGGCTGCTATGACGGGGCGGAGGGCAGCAGGTTGGTGGAGCGTATCTGTATATCCAATACGCACAGCCTATTGGAGCATAAATGACCACAAGCTCGGTGGCTATGGAAGCTTCTATGAAAGTTACCCATCGGACCACATCGCGGCTGAACAATGACGATGCCACATCCGCGTTGCGATGCTTGTTCAATCTGGCGAGTCTCTCGGTGTATAGCTACGACCGATACCACTTGACAAAAATCGTAAAGCCCAACCCAACAGTCAATCCGGCAAGAGCTCCCTCCAGAAACCCTCTGTTTGCGATACTATTTGCTTGCGGAGACTATAACGATCAGTCCACTCGTCACATTAGAAAAGGGTAGACGGCGTACCTGTGGCGCATGGCCACTCTCAATGGCCGGCTCGAGAGGTAGCTCTGGCTCATATTCCACCTCATCATTCCTCCCAAGCTCCTTGTGGTATTCCCAAAGCTGCCGGATTTTCTCGCGCACAAACTCCTCCCGTCGCCTGTGCATCTCTGGCGATGTGGTTACATCATGAACCCTGTGGGCGATGCTTGATCTCGGGCCCCAGCAATATTCATCGAGTAGATCCCAATATATGAGATCAACAGAGGCTCCCATGTGCAATGCCAACGTGAACCACGCAGATCTGTCTTCGAGCGACCGGCGCATTCGACCTGACAGGCGGTCTTCTGATTCAATCAAGCCCTGAGTCCGTTCTCGCTCTTCCAGTGCTTCCAAGAATATGTTCGCTTTCGGGAGAAAGGATTCCAAGAAGGCATCGGGTCCGTCTTCGTTGACTAGCGAATGAGGCCGGCGCAAGAGTAACCACGATGGAATGCTGGCTGCGAATTGAGAAGGCGCCGCGTAGGTGAATTCCCAGTCCAAGACGCCCACAATCCGCAGTGAGTCGTCTACGAGGACATTGCCAGGGCAGAGATCATCGCAAAACAGCTTGAAGGGGCCGCAGCCGTCCTCGGGGATAAAGTTCAGAGCGATGGCCTTCATCAACTGTCGGCAGGCATATTTCTCCCTGCAGTCTTGGGAGTCGTACACACTATTGCGCTGTTGTTCGAGGTGAGTTGACTGCAATTCCAAGAGTGAAGCGATGTAGTCGATAGATGTATGGAAGGTTCTTTGTGGTGTGCAGTCCTTCAATCCACTTGTCCGCATCAACTCGTTCAGCTCCCTAGTCAGGGGTCGCCCATCAACAATCGTCTTCCCCAGGTGGTCTTCACTGATGCTGCCGATCTTACTGAAGTCGAGTCCCCAGAGCTGCAGCAGTACCTCTGCCATTTCTTTATACAGGATCTTGAGCGTCTCTGGGTCGATAGCGGGATCCAGAACGTCATGCTTGTCGGAGAGATCGTCTTGTCTTAGTATGTCCGACATCTTCTTGCCGTCGATCCAGGTCATCATAATAAAAGGACCCAGGCCAGTTGGATTCTCGTCGCTCGTGCCATAAGTGATGACGCGCGGCACAGGAATCGTGGTCTCTCTCGCGATGTATTTCATCACGAACGCCTCCCCACGAACCTTCTCATCCAGAAACATGGATTTCCCAGGGAGTGGGAATCGAATCAACCAGTCCTCATCCTGATCGTCCCAGTTAAGTCGGAAGCTGAAGTTGAAAGACCCGCAATGCATGGAACGTAGCATACAGTCATCCCGTTGTCGATAGCGATTCGCGAGTTGGCAGATTCCGGCCCCTGATTTGGAAGCCAGTTTGATCCATTCATGTCTCCGATTGTCGAGAGCGGCGAGTTTGATATCGTCGAAGTCCATGATGTCTCAGTCAAACTTAACCACTACGAGAATTCAAGAAGTTTCCAATAGGAGTAGTCGCGTCCAATTGGCAGGAGGCTATTTGCCCCGGATTTTGACATATCCCGGGCCGTGCCTTGCATTCGTCACCTGATCCCTCAGGTCTAATGATTTTTGGTTTGCTGTCCACTCCTTCGAGACTCCGTAGTGTTGCCCCATGCTCTGTCTGTTCGTCGTTCTGTAGATTGGAGGTCATTGTGGTAAGGTATCAATGAAAGCTGCTCGATGTTTTAATCTGCCTTCACACCACAGTATGGAATTGCCCGCTTTCACGAGTCAAGTTGAGATGGTTCGAGAAGTGAGAAGTGATCTGACTGAGGAAGAGGTGGAGAACTTGGCGCCTCTGTTGTCCGATGGTTTTGGAGAGTAGGAGGGGACAGGAAATGCGAGTCGCCTCTGGGTATTTATCATGCAGCTACCCCACTTTGGACATGGAATATAACCTGGGTTCCGCCATGCCGCCCTGCAACCGAGATTGGTTGATGTGTTGTAAGTGATGCGCCTCTTATAAAGGTAGCATGCAAGTGCACTGCGGCAACTGACTCAGCCTCGATGAATACTTGAGCCATCCCAACACTGGGACTTCGAGCACAGTGTCCAAATTTTTCTTGTCACCTGCATGGAGGCCTCTACATTTGCTATATCGATTACTATTTCTCTTCATGCGAGAACATGAGTCCTCAAAAGGTGGTGGTAGATGCGTAGACAACGAACCATTCATGGTATGCCATTACCGGCTCGCCAATATTCTTGAACCTCCTGGTTCCACCGCAGGATACGCTCAACAGAGACCCCACGGTGTCTAGGCTCCTCAACTGGCTCATCGCCTCGATCATCGAATTGGTCAATAATTCATGGATGCATCTGAAGTTGACGAACGCTTTCGATGTTCGCTTTACCATCATCGAGCCAAATGCCGTCGTCGTAGCCTCTATGCCAGTTAAATAAGCGCGATGTTGCAAACCCCGATTGCTCATCAGCAGTATACCGTTCAGGATGAGGCGTGCTTAATGGTCAGCAGAATATCGATAGTATTTAATCAGTCGTTGCACTCACTCATTGCTTTGACCCGCAGGACAAGAATGACAGAGACCGTCAGCCTTCACAACCTCAAGGTCATGCTGCGAGCCTGCCGGAATTCTTTCTCCCGAGTCTAATAACCAATGGTTTTTCCAAGAAAGAGGCACGTGCATGTGTTCAAGGTGCGCCCTTACTTCCAGGCTGAGATTATGAACCGGCGTTGTACCGAAAGGAGGTGCGGGCGACCATGGCACGAACAAATCGGGCCAGCAGAAGTAGGAAGTCCGAAACTCATTCGCTCTGGCTATAATGGATTCTTCTGAGTCACGTACACTGTACGCTATCTGAAGGAAGGATTGGATTGTATTGGTCCAGAAGGCGGCAACTAGACATATAGGCGGGAGACTGTGAAGACTCAAATTCAGGAACGAGGTTGCCTGGCCGTTGCACACTGCAGCAGCCCATAGAAGACTCGATTGAGGTTTCTTGTTGGTGATTGCAGAGAGTAACTGTCGATTATCGATTTCCTCCATTGTGGAGAGAGCTTTTCTCACTCCCAATGATGCGGCCCCAAACAAATTACATGGAACACATGGGTCGAAAAAGGCGCTGCAGAGCAATGAATCCAGAGCATCCTGTGTTGAGCTCAGAGAGATACAATTCTCGACAGATTTAAACAATTCAAAGAGCATCGTACCTTTTGCACTTGGCGGAGAGTGCATAGGGACTGCCGGAATCATTGTAGGAGGAGCGAGTTTAGGTGGAGGCGCGTGCCGTGAGGTTGAAATTAAAACACAAGCAAACCCTGTGAGAAACTCTCCTTCCAGGCCGTTTGATGCGCAGAAGTCTAGAAGAGTGCTGAATGCGAAGAAAGAATTTGGTATAGCGAGTTTCCAATCACGTCTAGAAGGCTTATTAGAGCCGATGAAAGCCACGATTTACACGGTGAATATACCGCTTGCGTGAGGTCCCTTCTCTTCTAAACATCCAAAGCGTCTTTCTGATTTTCAACTCGGGCCTTCCATCAGTCCTGCGTGACGATGTCCCAAAAGGATTCTTCGATCTGCATGCCTTGATCATGCAGGATTTGGCTTTTCTCGCCTGCCCGTTGTAATATCTCCACCCAACGGCAGGAGATGATGTATGACCAGGCCAGAATAATGCTTGTAAGGAATCCAGAGCGAAGAGGCCTGGCACAAGTAGGAATAGATACTTCTGGTTGGGTCTCAGCTTTCGTCCTGTAAAATACAGGTGCGGGGCTTCCGAAGCACTGGAGATAATCGATGAACTTGTGATCTTGCTCGCAGTTCGAGTCTTCTGTCGTTCTCACTTGCAGAGAAGAACAAGGAAAGATTTTGCTCTTCCTGACAGTTGGACAGCCCCTGGGGGACAGGCATAGAACGAAGGGACATCTTTGAGGAGGTCTAAGAAAGCTGTTATGTAGTAATGGAGAGACTCTGTGCCTTCTAGGCGTGTAGATGCGGCGTTCTGCCAGTCGTCGATCTTTGACTGGCAGCAATGGTTGAAATGTGCTGCTGTCGGGCAGACCCTGTCACCTGGGGACCAAGTCACGTCGCTGTCATTACTTGATTCATCACTGTCATCGAATGGATTTGCGCTTAAAATATTCCTTTGCTGGTTCGAGATGCTAGCAGTCAGTTGAAGTCCCGAGTCGCCGATTTCCATCATAACAGCGGAGCTTTAAATGCCATAGAGGGAGCTGTCCTCGAAGGGTGTATAGGTGAAGGGATGACTTGAACCGCAGGAGGAAACACTGGGTTACAACCGAGGGGACAGACATACCACGGCGGGACAGGCGGTGAAAGGAAGAGGTTCAAGCTAACGGGTGAGATACAATCTCTACAGACCTACCTCGTCTTGGATGACTTACCCAGCACTTATAAATCATAGGGTCGAATTCAACCGAGTTCGTGGTTAAAATTAAATTCCGTAGACGGATATAGTATCCGCCGGGAAGGGAGATTGTACTCGACCTACTACACGATTTATCGCCAACTAACAGTACATTAGGTACACACTTTAGGAGGCCGAAATCAGCGCCCTCCCTCCGAGACAATTACAGCAAATAGTCTCCCGAAGCGCTCAATTGTTTCTACGTTTGATGGAGGGGAAGGAGATCATTGCATAACGCACGGTCCAAGATGACTCTAAACGTCTCCAAACCATTTCTGACGGAGTCGTTCCATAGCCAGTTCTTCAGGCATTGCCTCCAGAAATTTGTCAATTTCGTGGACCCAGAAGGAGTTCTGGGGGTTGACCTGGTAGGCAGAAGTGTATTCCCAATATGACGGGTACCAACCAGCAGTTTCCCAGTCAATGATTCCGACGATATCGTCTTCGCGAACAAGAATATTAAGGCTGCTGAGGTCACCATGAGTAAAGGCCAACGGCCAAGATTTGCTTTGTTGTTGTTTGATGAGTTCCTGGGCATCAACGTGAAGTCTAGGATTAAACTCCAATCCCATGCGTAGATGACGATGAAAGTCCTGAATTGTGGCAAAGGGCCCGAAAGCCAAAGAAGGGCCTGGTATACGGCAGTCATGTAACGATCCACCATCCACTGAAGCAACCCCCATGCCTTCGTGGGGCCGGAGATCCCGCATCTCGCGGATCATTCTTGCTAGAGCCGAGAGAAGCTTGGCTTTTGATTCCTCACTTCGTCTTACCCAGCCGTTGCCAATGATATCTCCAGGGCTTATGATAGCTGGAACATATAGTGTGTTGTCTCAAAGTAGACGTTCTCTGAGAAAGTAATTGGTGAATAGTGATGCAAATTCGCTCTTACTCGTGCTGGATGTCCTCGACCTCCTGCACGTGATTCCACCTGTATCCACACCGTATTGAGAAGGAATAAAACTAGACTTGGGACGGACTTCTACTACTCAAGGTCGTTGAATGTCATTCATGACGACATATGACCTGTTGAAGCCAAATAATATATCATAGATGGCTCACCTCTATACCAATTGTAGAGAGATTTAGGTGACGCCTTCAGACATTCGCACTCACCTGTTCTTCATCGATGAGGTCTATTATAATGCCATTTGCTTGTCGCCGCTGCAGTGGTCACTCCTACAGCACCTTCCCGCGTCCAGCATGAGCCGAAGGCAGCATTGAACAGGTCCCTTGCTAGCAGCGGATAGGTTATCGGCAGATGGCCTAATTTTCTCCTACCTGCAACAGAGTGTCACGCCATGAGTTGGCTGTTTGCAACTGCCATTATTCAATGCATGTGCAAGAAGATGAAGGTAAATAGTTCACAATCTTGAAAGAAATATCAAGGAAGTCAGAGCTGCAATGAGCAACCAACAAGCTGTACACTAACAAGCTCTCGACCCATTGATTGATCACGCACCATCCGGCTATAACAGTATACAATACAACAACACAAAAGACAATACCATCATTCCCAATCTGCCTGGTATCCTCCACCCCATTCTTATCATCAAATCAACCCCTCCCCCATCTCCAAAAAATAAATATACCACCCATCTACCCAAGCCACTCTCCCCTTACAACAATCCACCCCCAACAACCCCAGCAACCAACAGCGCAATCACGCCCACAGCCTTCTTACTCACACCAACAGCCACATTCCCCCCACTAGTCGAGCTGCTCGACGCACTCGACCCCGTCGCGGTTCCGGAGCTCTTGCCCTTCTTGGTGGAGGAAGACGACGTCGCCGACGCCGTCGCCACGATGGTACCGGCCCCAGTGGCCGGGACGGTGCCCGTGGCGGTCGCATTGGCGCCGGTGTTGCACCAGACCTCGCCGGCCTCGGAGGCCTTAATGAGGCACTCGGCCAGGGTGTGGACGGTCTGGCCCTGGGCGAGACAGTAGTAGTCGCAGCTGCTGTAGGAGACGACGTCGGCGGCGCCGCAGCAGCTGCTCATGATGGCGGAGTTGTTGCCGGTGCTGGGCATGGCGCAGGCGGCGTCCTTGATGGGGATCTCGTAGAGCTGCTGGTGGCAGGTCGAGGTGGCGGAGGCCGCGGTCGTGGTGGCGGTGGTTGTGAGGGACATTTTTCTCGAATGAAAGAATGGGAGTCTCGATTGTTGTCTTGTGGAATGATGATTGGACTCTAAAAGGTAGGTAGGTATAGAATGAACGAATGTGTGAATTGAATGAATCAGTTGGTTGAACGATTGTGGAGTGGTCTGGTCAGGGTTATTCAGGTTTACGCAGGGTACTTATAAGGAAGAGAGGGCTCTGTGCAGCTGCCTGGATTCCAGAACAGGGACTGCTGGAGAATCCTTAGCCATGGATTGATGGCTAAGCGGAAGATTACTGGCAGGGAGGGGGCTGACCGCTACGACTGGCCCCCTGATGGACACACATGCCTGCCTACACTCCACTGGGAGACCCGCTGCCTGGTCCCTTGGACCAGTGGCCGCCAGGGTGTATCCATTTCTGCTAATTATGGGTCGGCGATTCCAGCCGATCCCGTCTCAATGCAGTTGGCTGGTTGTTCAGTCGAGGACTATAGGTTGTCTGATGGCTGTGCCGGAGCTACTTCATGTCCCTGGGGCAATTATATCGGTATTATCAGATAGGCAGGTTTCAGATGACGCGTCGTTTGCTTCGATCGATGAGCATTGACAATTATCTTGTCCGTATTCAATAGCTAGTTGAGCATGCAGGGACAGGGCATATGGCTACCGGTCAGGCGTAGCCTCATTCAGGAACATGTACACGGCTTCGAAGGCGCCAGCGTCTTGATCTACGCCGTAGGGTCTGCAGCCTGAAATTCAGGAACGGTGTCGAAGCAATCTGTCGACAAACAGGCTCTCCTCGATCAACGAGAATGTGCCATTGACGCTCATGATCCGTCGGAAGACTCCGCCATGCATGGCACACTACTCCGACAGGTTACGGCCTGTTTAGCAGCAGAAGCCACCTCACGAACAGGAAGGAATAGCGAGCCGGGCTTCTTGGCATCAAAGCTTTTCTTCCTTGCCAAGATATCGAGGATATGACTTTTCCCAGATCCCCTAGTCTAGGATCTGTGGTTGTCGGGTGAGGCGACAGACCCGGACATGGCCTTCGCTTAGCATCTGCCAAGAGGTATAGCCTGGCATAGCCCGGTGTTGCCTTTGGCTATTGATATCGACGGGACATAGCCACCATGAAGTTGAGACTTTGTCTGGCTTTAAATAGATTCGTTGATCTGTCTTCGAATAGTGGTGTGGTGTGAGAGATGAGAGCGGGTCTGGCGGTTAAGGATTGAAGACGGGGTCGATGAAAGGTCGATCCAAGGCCCAGGTGGAGAGGCCGGGTAAAGTTTATTCAGACCGATGCAGCATGGATGCATCTTTCCATGGTCCGACACTTATGGGACGGGACACATTGTTTGCGTTAGTCGAGTTATCTGGAGTGTATCAACGTCTACCTTAGTAATTGATTGTCTAGAATAGCAATAAAATCCTGTATGGTTTCTGCTGCATCGAATTGCTGGTATCGTTCACTCAAGCCACTTCCCTGCTACACATAACACAGGAACCCAGCAATTTATTCAAGCTTTTCACCACAGGGGAGCATAAAGTCTCCAATGGTAAAGGCAGGACTAAATGACATGCACACAGCATCCCATCTCGACGACAGGATACCCATTCAGCGACAAAAGTTTGGCCAATTTTCTTCAAGAAAAACTGCTCTTATCACACGGAGTATGTCTGTCACCGAAGCAGCTGTCAATGGCAGTCATGCACTGCGAGAGCTATGCTCCCTGGAAATTCACGGGTGCTCCAGGGCAACGTATAAGGCTTATCCGGCCGGCCATTGCATGTGTCAAAATAAGACGTCATGCAGACACGGATGACCACATGGCCATCTCACTTGAGTCAAACTATTCGAGCGCAATTTCTCCATCCAGACATGCAATGTGCGAGGCTGTCGGTCGAAGGCGGCCGGCTGGCTGGCTGGCTTGGACTAGGTCACAAACGCTAAGCATTTTCCAGTCCCACCCGCCGGCGATGATCTGCAATACCCTCCCACATTCCATCCAGCACAATGGCGACAGACCTCCGAGGCACGGATGACTCGTGTTTAAACGTAAGCTCTGCGAATGCGACAATCTCACCGACTATGTGAGCCAGAATCCCATCATGAAAGTGCGGTGACCAAGCCCATCTGCTCCATTCTTCAGCTCGTATCGATTGGGATCGCTCCGAAGCTTAGTCCCCTCCGCACGAACGCCTCGAGCCCATGTGGTTCCCCCGATTGGAACCAACATTACCCGCTAATGCTTGTCAGGACATAGTCTTGAATGATGTGAGCAAGGTGGAGAAAGTCGGAAACATGTTGCGTAGAAGAAGCCCAGCGAACTGTCCAGCTAAATACCCCTCGATGCGCATTCGGTCACTTATTCTGTGTTGACCTGAAATCCTCCCGCCCATCGCACTTGGACCGCCGTACAATCGCAACAAACATGCTCAAACATACACTCACCTCTCTGGCCCTCTTCGCGGCAGGAGCCTTCACGGCCACAACCAGTCCCGGCTACTCATGGGACATCCCTTCGACCGTCAGCGGGGACTCACTCTCGTTCGGAGAACATTACGCGGTGTTAAATCTCGATCTGATCGATATTGTGGTCTCATATGTGAACACTACTACCGCGGGAGCGAGCTGGATCAATAACACGGCGCGGTGGATTGACGCGTAAGTTGCACTTTTTCCATGGGCTATCTCGAGCACTGTGCAGCGTGTAGGCGAAGCTGACAGCCAACAGCGTTCACCAGCAGTCGCCCCCACCATTGAGCATCTTCACCCGGATCTACTTCGCCAACACGCAGCGACCCGAAATCAGCGCCAACGACCCTTTTGCAGAGGCCGTGTCCCTCCTGGGCAACATCACCGAGTCGAGCCCCGCGGGACAGATCTACCCTGCTTTCCGGCCTCTGGATAACTGGGACGTGGTGTTGCAGAAGGTGCGGTACTACGCCGGTGCAGGCAACTCGCTAGAGGAGATTCTCGCGAGCCAGAAGATCGACACGGTGATTCTGGTGAGTGGCCCCGAAAGGAAATCGATCGGAGGGGTGGACCTTCCCTATTCTAGCGCTCCGGCTAGTGCTTCATTAGTGCTTGTGGTGCCGGATCGACCATGATTTTTCTGTTTTGTTTTGTTGGTTCGATCGGGTAGAACTAACGCGTTGGTCCGATTTTCTAGTCTGGGATTCGCACGTCGGGGGTGGTGTTGAACACCGCTCTTCGTCTCTTTGATCTCAATTACAAGGTGTAAGTCTGCTTGCGTTCTGCGTCGGGTGACGCTGGATGACTGATTGCCTTCTCTCTAGATATGTTATTTCGAACAATACCATCGAAACGCCCTCAACCTACGCGTCCCAGATTCAGCAGACGATCCTGCAGGGCATCCTGCCCGCCAATCCTATCGACGTCATCACGATCGAGCAGGCCATCGCCGCGTTGAATCGGTCGGGTCCGGCTGTATACTAGTTCCGACTCATTTTGTATCGGCGGACGGCTAATGGGGTTAGGCGTCTAGTGGCATACACTGTATACAACAGAGCAGACATGGTTTTAGATGATGCTCGATGATTCCAGATAGTAATCCGAGTCTGGACCGGAGGCTTCTCCTCCAGGGTATTTGTAGGAGACATCACGACATTCGGAAATATGCATAGACGGCGTGATAAAAGCAGTCCAAGGTACTCCGTAATTTCCCGGAAAAGGGGGGAAGCTCAACCAAGAAAAGAATAAGAATAAGGAGAAAAAGAAAGAAAAAAAGCAAGCCACAATGCGTGATGCATGCAGGGTCATCACCAGGGGAATAAATAGCCGAAATCACGGCAGTGGCCCTGTGCTACCAGATCGCGCAGAATAATTCCAAAATACTCCGTAGACATCCTGACTCGCGTACAGTGAGACTTCCTCTTTTGAATATTACAAATGCATTATGACGCGACTTCCGATGGCTATGAAGATATGAGACTTTAACTAAAGGCAAGGATGATATCAATCGTGGTCTGACTGTACGGTTGTTGGCGCCCAGGCCTCGACCGAAGCTTATCGCTGATAAGCCCGGTTGGGACTGTATTCTGGATCTGTCTGGTCCGCGCAATCTTTAGCGCAAAGCGCAATTCGAGGTTCGGGGTCGTCTCTCGCCATTCTACACGATAGAAATGACCCTGTGGGAAGGGTCTGAACTCCGAAGGGATCCAGTCGATGGTGTATGATTTTATCCAAGTATGGTTAGTCACCTACTCCATTTGCACTACTCCGTAGTCGAGTCAACAAGCAAAGTTACCATGCCCTGACTGCCTACTATAAGGACTCCAAAGGGTAGCGGGACATCATCCGCCCTAATTTTTGAGCCCTCATACAGGGAGGGTTCTTTCTTCCCGAATGCTTGCAAGAAGTCATTTCATTCCATTACTATCAATTCCACTTTCGTATTTATTAACACTAGTTAAGCATCTCCCAGATGCCCTTCTCCAGCCACCCGTTTACAACAATGCTAGACAGGTCGTTCGTAAGTAATACCCCCCAACCTGGAACCACAACACCCAGACTCCAACCCAACCCAGATCCATACTAAGCCTGGGTACCTATTTCATCACCGCATAAACCTGCAACGCATCATGCAACCGCCCAAAGACACCTCCATGCCACCCCTTGATCAACGCCCACTCCTCCTCGGGCAGCATGACACTGAACATGCGCAACCACGCGCCGACCAAGAAATCCGCATAACACGCGCGATGCCCCAACACAAACGGGCCGCCCTCTGGTGTCTGCCCGAATAACTTGGCCAACTCCCCCAGCGTCTTTTCGAGCGAGGTGATCAAGTTCTGGCGATACTCGCCCTCGCACTTGAAGTCCTCCCAGCTCGACACCGGCGCGCCCGCCAGCACCGCCCGCCGCACGAACTCCGCCTTGGCCGTTGCCTCGGTGGCCGGGTCGAAGGGAAACCCCTGCACGGTCAGCTGGACGTGCGCCGTGAACGCCGCGTCGACGTGCACGTTAAACCGGGCGTACGCGGCCAGCGCCGGGTGGTTCTTGGCGTTGCACTCGGAGAGCGGAACGATGGGCGGCGGGTCGAGCGGGAAGGTGTAGTCCAGGGGTTGCGCGGGGAAGAGGTCGCCGTCGCCGGCGGTTGGGTAGGTGGTTTGCAAGTGGGTGGCAATGTCGAAGGAGTCCCCCAGGAGAGCGGAGGTGTTGGGGTCGTGGAGGATCGGGAGCGTGTAGAAGTCGCTGCCGTCGGCGAATTGGCGGCACGCCGGCACGTTCAGGCTCTGCCGCACGCGGGCCACCTCCGGCAGCGGCACCCAGGTGGTCTGGTACGGCAGCTTCTTGAAGTTGAGCGCGAATCGGGTCTTCCAGGGGTTCGGCGAGCAGGCATTCTTCGCGGCGGGAGGGCGTGTGGCGATGTCGTAGAAGATTAGGGGGCTGGTGGGGGTGGTTGTTGTGGTAGTCGTCGTGGTGGTGGTTAGTGGCATTTTGCCGGGAATGGTGATTGTTGATGAGAATGGATTGATAGAAGGAGTTCGCGCCTTTGCGTCTCTGGGCTGGATTTGACGTCTTTGAGGAGGTTGATAGCCTGATAGTGATGGTTGGGATATGTTTATATACTTCTTACCCCAGGTCACTTTTCATAGTCTTGTACAGTACCTAAGGATTCTTCACAGTCGAGCTGGTTACACTGATGTGGGGTAACTCAGAGTGACGCATGTTGACTCATTCTGAGTGGTACTGACTGTCCTTAAGGCTCCACCGCTGCTCTGCATTGACTTTACATCAACTTTTTCTGTTTGCGGTACCTCAGCACAATACAGACATCGAAGCATAACCTTTCTTCTTTACCTTTTCTCTTGTGATTGTGGAAGTCAATGTGTTTATGCTGTTTTCATCATCTGACATGTTTTGCTAATTGAAAGCGCTGGCATCGTAGTACTCCATAGTAGTGCCCTGGTTAGATGGCTTGCTGTAAAGTATACATACTCAAGTAGCTGGGAGCCATGAAGATGCTCTATGAAAATTGCTCTGAAGGAGAAAGCGACCGTGAAAAGTCTACAGTTCAAGTCTTCGATGCGAGAAGTTGAAGCCTGTTGAGCCTGGAGCAGGAAACCGCCTTCCCCTTCTGTTGGCTTACGTAGCCTGGCAGCACTGCAGGAGGATCGGCTCCATGACTCTGAAACGGGATAAGGAAACGCAGAGCAGGGAGGATGCGATTGCTTCCACCATTCTCACTGGTCAAAGTCTACAACTTAGTGCCGACGCTAAGGTAGCGTGGCCGCCGATGATGATGTGCACAGTGCGTCAAATGACCTTGGGCTGGAAAGTAATAAAATGAGGGTATTATCGCTGTCCACTAGTTAAATGAGTTTGGGCTGGTCCCGCGGTAAGTGAACGGGCTGCGACCGGCCAGATTAAGGAGAGCAAGGTCGATAGACTTCCGCAGCCAATTGTGCGACAAGAGAGATGTCAGTGCGATGTGCAGGTAGGGCATTTGTTTATCGGAATGCACTGTACGGTATTGACAGTGCGTCTTCACGGAGATTTCTCTGCATTATCCGTCGGTATCACGATCTGCCAGATCGCCACTGTAATGACAGGTAAAGCGGCGATACATCCATTCATCGCATGGTTCGAACGGACGTCCAGCGTTGCAGGCTTGAAAGCGCCCCCCCCCCCCCCATTTTGGGATCTGCTATTGACACTTTTCCGGTTAGAGAGGCTTGTTGTCAAAACCTAGGTAAGGAAAAGGAAGCTCAAGCGATTCATTTCCCGCAATTGATTTAGGCGATGCAAGGCACATGACGAGAAACCTTGAAATTCTGGATTGTTTCCAAGTTAGGAAAAAGCTGAGGGCGACTTCGGAGTCGTGGGGTGAATGCTTCACATTGGAGCCTTGAACCTTGTAAGAAAAGTGAGATCCTTGCTGGGTCGCCATCAGATAGTGAAAAAGAGAGGGAGAGATAATGGATTTATTGATCTTGTTATTGATCTATCGACGGAGTAAGCTCGACTTATCTTTTGTGCCGCGGCCGTCGCAAACAGTCCGGACCGAGCTACGGAGTAAGGTAGATAAGTTAAGTGGCTGGCCCTTGGGTCCTTGACTCAGGAAAAATGATAGATAGGGTCAATTCACCGGACTTGTCTCTGAACTCTTCGAGTTCCTTTACTTGAACAGGCAAGATCCGATCCTTCTTCTGGACCTTCCGCCAACGGTATTACTTGATGCGGGGTAGCGTCTTTCCTCGTGGAGGCTAGACTTGTGCGAGCTAGGCTCAAAGCAGGCAAGTGCTATCAGCTGACCCCCGCGTGGATTTTTCGTTCCGTTGCAGGGCAGCGTCATCATCAGGGCATCGACTGAAACGAGATTCTCCGCTTCTTATTAGAGCTTGCTTGCGCGCTCTTGCTTGCTTCCAGCTTGCTTGCTTTCATGCTTGCTGGGGCTGGCTGGCTTGCTTACTTACCTACCTAGTACCTTACTTGCTTCTTCTTTTTCCTCCTGCTTGCTGCCTCTTGCCCTTCTCTAACTTGCTTGCGCTTGCGCTTGCTCTTTCTTGCTTATACTCTTGCTCTCACTTGTCCTGCCAGGCTCAGAAGAAGACTTTCCTATTCCCGTCCCCCCCCCGAGTCCCCTCCTCTTCTTTCTCTACTCTCTCTTCCCTCCATCCCCTGTCTCGTTCATTCTCTTCACTCTCCCCCTCCTATCCCATTCACTCCTATTCTATTCTATTCTTCCTATTCTTCTTACTCATTTGATTGTCCTTTTGTCTCCTAAATGAACAATACCTACAATACCTTCTCTTGACTTTGTCCTATCTAAGCGGTATCCTGCCGAGCTCTAGTGCCAAATTCGACGACGGGCTTTGCTTAAGCTTGATCCGAGGGATTTTTCTTTTCTGGGCAGCCCCGACCTTACCCGCAATTCTAGTACTGCCATTGCGCGCCGTCGCAAACTCCCGCTCGGGCAATTGATTCAGAACCACAATTCGAACAATACCATAGATCTCAAACCAAAGTCTCCAATTAAACACGTTCGATGGTCTACTCAGACTGCTTTCCACCGACCGAGAGGTCAGGATCTGCAACGACGCCTCAATCCGAGTCGCACGAGGCCAGCAAATCAACCGGCTCGAGTAACGATGAAGTCGATCGGAATGCCTCAGTAATCCCTGCCAAAGGGAGCCTCGACTCCCCTCCTCTATATAGTTTCCAGCCCCCGTCGAACCGCCTTCATGACCCGACTGCCCAGCACAACCCTCATCATCCTCTGCCCTCGCTGCAAATCCGTACCGACCTGCCAATCTTCAGTCAAATGAGCCCTCCCAGGGACGCTGACACCCTGGTACACCACAGCCTTTCCTCGAGCAGTCTGCCCCGTCGCACCCCTAGCTTACGCGGTCTCTTCGCGGCGCCTCCCAACAGTGGAGGCTCACTGTCGCCGGCCTCTATAATCTCGTCACCACAATTGGTAGCAATGGGCG